ACACATTTAGTCAAAATACATATTCCGTATCTATTAGAAAAAATTATAATTTTTTTATAAAACACTAAATTTTGGGATTTTTTATATAAAATGTTCATATAGCTTTTAATATGAGATTAATAACCTTTCTTAAAAAAATTGATAAAAGAAAAAATTATCCTTATCTTTTTTTTATTCTAATATTGAGTTTGTTTTTTATTTTTCAAAATATATTTTTAAATTTAAATAAAGATAAAAAGCTTTATCGTCTATTTAGTTTTGATTTATAAAATAAAAAGGCTTATCCCCCAGAATTAAATAATGTTCGAGTGTTTTAATCCATTCCGCCCATTTCATTTTTTTTAGAAAATTTTCCAGCTTTTAACTTTTCACCGGTCTTAACTTTAAGTGAGTTTATATAATGTAATCATATTATTTAATCATATTCACGACTAATTGAAGATTTTAGCCAAAAGTAAAATCATACTTGGAGATTTTTGTAACATATGATAGAAAGGTTTTGACATCTATTGGCAAAATTTCGAGGTTTCTAAAAATCGGATAAATAGAGCAATTTAGCAACACTATATAGGAGTTATTAAAAAATAAGTGCGATAGACATAACAACATTTTGGCCCAGTCGGTTCGGTTCAGATTCGGATAAAAATAACGGTTCAAGGTTAAGGTTCGGTTCGCCAAAAATAAAAATATCGATTAGGTTCGAACCTCTAAAAACCGGTTTGAACACTTTTGTATTCAAATCTACATTCGAATTATGTATTTTTTTTATTTCTTAATTAAAATAAAAAAACACATACATATAAAAACCTTCATTTTTATTAATTGCACATTATAAAATAATATTTAATATAAATATATATATATATATATATATATAAATAAATATCAATGATTAATTTTAATAAGAACAATTACTTAAAATTTTTTATTAAGCCGCACAATAATATATTTTCAAAATTCGTCTAACTCAAATTACATAAGGAGATAATATAAATTTAATTATTGAAAAACATCTTTCCACACTAGCTTGGGTAGCCGGCACTACCAGTATGATATCAGATTTGATGTGTCATTTCATTTATAATATTATATGTAAATAATTTATATATTAGATTTAATCTTTCTCTAGGCTTTATAATTTATAAGCTTAAAATATTTAAAAAATGTTGTAAAATGACAATATACTAAAATTTTTATGAAGTAAAAATTTTGCAATATACTAGTAATAACTTACACATAATTTTATAAGCATATGAGACTCAAACCGGTTCAAAGGCAGTTAGGTTCAGGTTTTCTAGAAATTCTTTTAGCGGTTTAAGTTCAATAAAAAATACCGGTTTTTATAGGTTTAATGGTTAGGTTCAGGATCCCTGTTAGCCTATGTCTAAATCTGATTTTTGATTCATATTCCTTAATATTACGAAATAGGTGTGTACAATCCTGTTTTTCAGATATCCCCCCCCCCTTTAAATTTATAGAAGTAAATAAATTAAGGGGTAATAAAAAAAATAAATTATTCACAATTATAATTACTTTTAAATTTTATTATAATCAGTTTTGGAAATAATTTTCAAGTTTTAAAAAAAATCAGGTTCGAGCTTAGACCTACGTGAATCCACGTTTAGAAATGAAACCCATTAAGAATGGTATCTGATAGGTTTTTTTTTGTAAATATATCCCACGTTTTCTTCAAATCCCTAATATAATCGACAATGTTTCGATATTAAAATAGATACAGTAATAAAGATAATAAATAATATATATTCATGGAAACTATAAAAAAAAATTAATAACATAATCGTTTTAATTTTTGATATATTATCAGAAGATGTAGAATAGAATAAAATAAAATAAGGGTCACTCAGAATAGGTAAAAAACTTGAAAACCAATTTTATAAATATATTTTATCGGCAAATCAAATTAAAAAGTTTATTTAAAATCGTATTATATTTAATATGTCGTATTAATATTTAATAGACATGAATCCATTAAAAAAAATTTAATATCCTTCAACCGAGAAATTTAAAATTACTGGTAAAATTAAAATATAAATAGTTTGATATATAATATTTAGGATAATAATTTTTTTTTTTAAAAAAAGTCGCCTGGCATTCCCAATTGTCACGTGATGTTTAGTAATTAGTTAAAGATCATTTTACGCCGATCTTAAAGTTAGGGAACCGAAGCTCGGTACGCCCCTAGCTTCGTGAAATAATATCATTATAAATATGCGGGATCGGAAACCTGGGGTTCTCTCACCTATCGAAACGTAGTGCCTAACAATTGCACCGGAAGGAAATGGGAAAAAATTAACTAAAGATTGATAAAGATGACGGTTAAAGTAAGAGGAGAAAAAAGGAGAAAAGTAAACAAAGAAAATGATATATTAATTTTATTAATTATAATAAAATGTTTAATTAAAATAATAATAAATATTACCAACACACGCTTATATTTTAGGGGAAAGATGAAAGGAAAAGAAAATTCTCAACAACAACAAAAAGGAAAATTGTTTTATAATTCATCTATTTCTATATTTTACAAAATATTTTAAAAAATTTGCCTTTTCAAATTTTATTATGTATTTTAATTATTATTATTTTTTTTTCAAGTAATTTTTTTTAAAAATCTCTCATTTCATTATTTTTTAAATTTGTAATTAATAAATTTTTAAAATTATTTTAGATCATTTTTATATATTTTTTTAAATTCATATTTTAATGCCTTATCTAGATCCAGAGTTCAGAGACCGTTGGCAATATTTAATTTTAAATGTTGATAATAGTTAAAGCTTAGCTCTTGCATATTCTATCAAGTAGCTAACGCTAATCCTTTTTTTTTATATATCAAAAGCCTGCTTTGGGCTCCGCTGACCCCAATAAATTAAAAATTACTATGAGTCGGAATTTTTAACATGATTCAAATGTATTATTTGTTAATAAAACGAACGTCATTTTTAACAAATTGAGCTTGAAAATGCATAAATTAAACAAAAGAGCAAATGAAGAACACATAGCGACGAATCAAAATTTGATCTAAGTTTTGGATCTGTACGATATAGGGTTATAATATAATACCCCAGGCAGAAAGTTTCATCCTGATAAATTTTCAAATATCATAAAGGTATAGGGTTGCATGAATGCAAAAGGTTTAGAATATATTTTCTTTATAAATAATATAATAGCTGGTATTTTAAATATCAAGATATCATCAACTACGTATACTGTTTCCACCTATTTAGTTATTAGGGCATGAAGCAAATTATATCTTACAGAAAGATGGAGCTCCTTGTCACATGCTAAATCTAGAAAACCTTACATGGATTATATACCATCATTCTCCAAATTCCAATCCTCTTGAAAATATAAGGGGTATACTCAAAAGAGAGTTTAGAAGACAGCAATTTAGAACAAAGGATTTGAAGAATAAATTAAAATTTAGAAATGAACCTAATTAATTCAATGCAGCAGCAATTATAAAGGCAAAAGTAGATATAACATTATTTTTATAGCTGAAATAGCGATACTTTAACCTCCTAGCAAGCCGTTAATTTTGAAAAGAGTTAAACATATTTTAATAATTTAAATATAATAATGTTTTGTATTATTGTTCATTATCATATCGCTAATTGTTTCATGATTATTTTTTGAATATAAGAATGTTAAAAAATAAGATTAGTCGTATATCAATGGACTATTATATAAACGATTGTGATGAGCGTATTTAACTTGCATTCATAGTTAGCGCAAATTCGTGGCGTACACAACGTATTTTGTATAATTCGCCGCGAACTATGAATGAGGGTTTAAGCTTTAGTAAACATTATTAGCTAAGTAAGACAAAGATCAGATTGCCATAATATGTAAGTAGTAAAAATTTTAATTATCAATGTAATTGAATATTGAACAAATAATATTTAAAAGAATTTTTTTTTAAATGTATGGATGAATCGCAAAGCAGATAAAATGCAAAAAAAAATCATAACAAATTAGAAAATATTTTTATTTATTATATAATATTATAGACAATCGATTTTTCGGTTTAGTAACATGACAATAATATAGTCGAGCTCTCAGAGCATTCATATTTTTTACAATTAGGAGATTTACATAATATAAAAAATTTTAACAGGCCAAAACCCATAGTTTTTAGACTAATATTCAACTTGGTCAATTTCGACGATCATTTTGAATATAACAATAAGCAAAATAATTAATTATTTTTTAATTACAATTTTTAAAAAAAATTTTTTTTTAAATATTTTATGGTATACAATATACATATTTAGATTTAATAATTTTATAGAAATCAATTATAGGTGTAGCCAAAAGGGGAAATAGCTTAAGAGTAAAAAAAATGTTCATAAAGAAATTTTTTTTTAATTGAACAAATTATATTTTTAAATCAATTTTAACTTCTAACGTATGAAAGAAAATATAGGGCTAGGGTTAGCCATAATGGTTAGTTTTTATACTAACAAAAATGAGTCTATACTTCTATTTAACAAAATTTCATTGTTTTTTAGTGAGTTATGACATAATTTTTAGACTTAAAACAGGTAATACAAATTATTTCCTTATTCAGGTGATCCAATTTTTTTGTTAAAACACATTTCAAATGTTAAAAAGTTTGTATAAAATTTAATATATTAAAAAATTACCTACATATAAATATTTGTACTTTCAATCTAAATTAGATAAAAATAATTGTGGGGGGGGGGGGGAGTGAGTAGGAGGCATTTCCCTTCCTTAAAAAATTACTAAATAAGTCTTTATTAACAATATTGTTTTTATATTTATCAGAAAATATAAGATTTGTTATATTAAAAAGAGAGCTGCAGGCATGGTCCTAAGCCCAACCTAAGTATATGGGTCAGGTTTTATTTTAATCCAGACCAGTCCATATAAAAAAATCTAGGCTGGGCTGTGCAAATGGTACCTTTTGCAGATCTTTGATAGTGAATAAAAAATAAATTAAAAAGAAAAATTAAACTCTTAACTTGTTCTAAAGGTAAATGGAGAAAAGGATTGAGGATAATCATAAAATGAGGATGGATGTGACTCTGTTTGAGAATTTTTTCCATCGTCTATAATAGTATAAGATGAAGTATGAGGAAGAGTTCTTTTAAGGCAAACTTTTCTGTAACAAGGATAAACAGCCATTTTATAAATTTGACCTGGAACTAAAGAGCTCAAATTTAGTTTCCAATGTCTTGTATCATCATTCTTGTAATCATTTTTGCTAATATTATCAAACATAGTTAATGAGATTGAACTATTTGGATAGTTATGTTCATTATTAAGGTGGCCCAATGATTTACTATAAAGGAATGAATGAAATGTAGGTTGATGCTGAGCATGATCATGATCAAGAGAAACATCAGGCACCCACCATTCAATAAGAAAAGACACGTGCTGCAAAATATTGGTTAGCAAAGATGATTTTAATTGTTCACCTTTATTCCTAGTCAATTGCAAGGAAACTATAATTTCCCAGCTATCATTTAAGCATTGATAATATGCTGCCAAGCCTTGCCAGGAACCATAATCCTTAAAAGATGTCATCGATGATATGATTAAGTGTTTTGAATCGATTTTCCATTGAGTTTCATTGAAAATTAATTGGTTAGAATAATTGAATACAGAATTTAAGGTTGTAGGAATTAGATCAAATATGTAAGTGAGATTAGGAGAATCAACTAGCTTTTCTCTAATTTGATGAGATGTGTGGTAAAACTTCATAAATGTTGGAGCAAAATAAGAGTTTAACAGAGAAAAAGCTTGTTTGCTCCCAGGGACTGGATAAAAATCAGTACGTAAATCACCAATCACTTGCACATTAGTTTCTGATAAATTATTATGTGAAACAGATTGGTTTAATAGCAAAAATGGAAGATTATATTTGATAGTAGTCATTTTCAAGTTGTAAATTGAATTTTTGGTAAAAGGTGGGTGATACCATTTTAGCTTGAGTGAGGGATTTAAGGAGTCCACCTCTAAATGCAAATCATAATTGTGATTCTGATGAGGCGTATTTTCTAGAGTATTAAATATTTAAAAATATTACTTGGAATATAAAAAATTTTTATAATTTTATTAATGTGAATTTAGTAATTAACTATTGGTGCTTGATTTATCTGGTAAGGATATAAACTCATGCATCATAAAAATTTTTAGAATATCAAATAATAATAATATTTTGCCAATGAAGGGAGTTATAAATTGTAAAAAAATTAAACATTGAAAAATTATTATAGTAGACAACAAAAAGTGGAAAATTGATGATTAATATTTTTTATTATATATACCTGTGTTATAAGAATAAATATATAATAAGAGGAATATATGTATATGTATACAGCTATATAATGTTTTAATTCTATCAATTAAAATCATAATGTAAAAAAATTTAAAATTTAATTTTCACATGTTTTAATGGATAAATGTTTTACTCGATGATTGCATCTGTATGGTTTTATAATAATTTATATTTTTATTTAATTTATCCTTTATGAAAATAAAATAATTACATAATTTAAAATTAAATTAGGAGACATTATTATTAAATATTATATTTTGATACATCTATATGATTAAAAAATGAGAATAAATAACTGATCTGATCTCATAGAAAATATCATCTGAAATTAGAACTTTATGAGATGTGATAGTGATTAGTGATTGCTAGATATTTATACATCTATTCACTATTTAGCCACTATGTTAGCTCTTAATTACAAATTTTTTAAATCACCTGTTTCAAGTCAGTTTTAAATTTTATCATAATCCATTTTATTTAAGGTAAACACATACCTATCATAATAATACCATTAAGAAGATATGGAGAAGCTTATTGATATAAAAACTAACATTATATTATGGGAAAAATACATCCTAATGCTAATAGGAAGTTAACTCTGTCCCATATTTTGAACCTATAAATGATGTTTCATAATAATTGGAAGATGTGGACAAGTTTATTAATACTATACTTTATCTTAGGTAAATTAATCTTAACGTTAGTGTGAGGTTAAGTATACTTTTACACTATAATGTGTATTTAGTTAAAATAGGAGTTCGTTTATAATACATATATGCTAAAATTTTTGTTTAATTAAATAATAAGTTATCTTTATTGTATCTCTAAACCATATAAAGGATATTTTTCTTTATAATCAAAAGATATGAAGCATAATATTTATTCTTTATTTCCATTGTTTTAAGAATACATATGGTTAGATGCAGTGACGTAGTGTCCATAGAAGCTAGGGAAGCATTGCTTCCCTTGAAATTTTTCTTACAAAATTTTTAAATAAACTTAATATAATCTTTGTACTATGCTAAATAAACTAAACTGACATTAAAAAAATTAATATAATTTTTATAACGTTAAAAAGATTAATATAATTTTTATAACGTTAAAAAATTAATATTATTTTTACTATATTAAGAAATACTATTATTTTTACTACTTTAAAAAAGTTACTATTATTGTTAAAAAATTTACTATCTTTTATACTATGTTTAAAAAAATATACATGAGGGAAGCAAATTTAATATTGCTTATTTTTTTTAATAAATAAAGAGAAAATCATGCCATGGTATTGTGTAATTTTACTATTAAAAAATAAGCATTGGGGAAGCAAATAAAAAAATGCTTATTTTTTTAATAAAAAAAAGAGAAGGAAATTATTTTATATAATATTTTTTTACTTAATTTTTTAAAATAAAAAATTTTTCGTTTTTAAAATCCAATTAATGTTTAATAATTGTAATTGTAATATTGAAAATTTATTAACATTATCATTTAGCTCAAGAAATTTTGATGCGAAAAATTGTTTTACAAAACAAAAAAATCAAAACTTGCATCCATAATTTTTCTATCGATAAATATGAAAAATATGAATGGCTCACTGGATGTGAATTTTCTAATTCTCTATATTGTTGATCATGCCTATTATTCCCAAAGGAAAATATTGTTTGGAATGATAAAGGATTTTTAAATATGAATGATTTTTCAAAGGCAATTAAACGGCAAAGAATCAACCGCTCATTAGCAGTCGATGTTTCAATTAAAAACATTTGGCCAAAATTGCATTAAAAATATGATAGATTCGATGCGCAAAATATCAATCGAACAACATAATTCTAAAGTCAAATCAAATAGAGAAATATTGAAAATATTTATCAACTTTATATGTTTTCTTGGAATTCAGGAGCTCGTTCCGTGGTGATGATGAATCTTCTAATTCAGTAAATAGAGGAAAATATATTGTAATAATTTATTTGCTCGCGGAAGAAAATTTACTATTGAAACATCATTTAGAAATAGTGCAGTTTTTATACTATCAAGCAATATTCAAAATGATTTGATTAATTCTATTTGATATGTCTTACACCAAAAAATATATTCGTCGATTGGTTAGATATTAGTAAATTCCAAATAATCATTTTCCAAAAATATTTATTAGATAATTTAAACGACACTTATTCTCAATTTTTTGACTTACACAAGCTGGAAACCGAATTAAAGGTAGTGTTTCGGGATGTTAAATTTAGAAAGAAAAAGAATGTTAATGAAATACTTGAATTTTTAATATGCACCGTTTGATGAAAAGTTTTGTTTTTTAAATTATGTGAATTCATCTTAACTTTGGCTTCGACAACAGCAAGTGCAGAATGGAGTTTTTCATATTTAAAAAGAATCAAATCTTATTGCAGAAACAGGATGAGCCAAAATCGTTATCGAATCTATCTTTGATTTCGATTGAAAAAAATTATTAAAAAATTTAAAATCTAGCGATAACCTTTATAATGCAGTACTTGATCATTTTACTCAAAAACAAAGACGAATACCACTTATTTATAAATCTTAATATTTTTATGGTTTGAGTTTGACTAAAATATAAATATTTTTTTGATTGCTTTCCTAGTAGTAAACTTGACGCTTCGTCACTGGTTAGAAGCATAACGGCAGGTTGTCTAAGAAAGTCTTTATTATTATTAAAAAAACATTATATTAAAATTATATAAAATTTTATATGCTGAAATATAATAAGGTATTATAATATTATTCAAAATAAAATATAACAAAATAAAATTATATTTTATAATGCGATATAACATTATAATGTTAAGTTATAAAATTATCTAAGGTTAATAAAGATACCATTTTTTATAAGAGAAAAATTAATTTTAAAAAATTTAAATAAAATTGAATCTTCAATTAGGTAATTTATTTATATATTTATATATCTTCAATTTCAATATCTTTGTTAAAATCAACGTTTAATTATTGAGTTTTAAATTCTTAGATGAAACACGGCAAAATATAATGCTGTAAAAAAAATTCTTACACTTTTATTAAAGACCTATTAAATACAATGTTACTAAACATTGACCATATCTATATATTGCATACAATCATAGTCATTATTTTTCAAATAAAAACTTACTTCTGGAAAGTATTTTGCTATCTTCTTAAATATAATTTAAAGGTCTATCAGTAAACTCATATTCATGCCATAAAATATACAATAATAACGCATTCATTTAAAATGAGTATTTTTGAAAATTTAATTTATCTTCTGTAAAATAACTATTTTACATTCACAATATAGTTGGTAGTATAGTGATAATTTAAATTATTCCATTTAAAATATAATAAGGGAGTACCATAAAAACGTGTAATTAATAATGTGTAAATATCGCCGCCGAAGGCGGATAAAATTTTTTAGGGGTGCAGGTAGGTTTTTGAGGGGTGGGGTGGGGCGGGTTTTGCTTCCATTACATATCCTGTCATGTAAAGGTTGGGGTTATATTATCATATGTATAGCTTATCAGCTTAATTATCAGAATTATTTCTTTATCATAATTTTTGCCCTTCACATATTTTACATATTATCATCATTTTTTTTTATATATTATATATCATAATCATATATTTTGCTCCTCGGCATATTTATTTGCTTATCGGCATGTTTTTTAGATTATATGATTTGATGCTGAAGTCATATCTCTTCTTCTTATGGTTAATTTGCAGTTGTCAAAAGTATCCATACCCATGTCAATTTCTCCAACGTTAGCCTTTACTCATTCCAAACATTAAAATCTTTGTTACTTTTGTTTTTAGCTTGCCATCTAAGTGTCCGTGTGTTTGAAAAGAAGGATTCCCTTTCACCTTGAATCCCCTTCACCCAAATTTAAAAAAACAGTTTTATAGTAACTAATCATCACCAATATAATTAATTAAAGATAATTTATAAGATTTAAGTTGTTACTTATTATTAAAATTTTATTTTATTTTCATAAATTCACTTTATTTTTTATATCAATTATGTTATAAATTACATAATTTAATGCTTTTTTAATATTAATATAGGTTTTTATATAAATGGTTTAATTTTTTTTTTTTTCAGCATATGTATAGTCACCATAAATAGCTATAGAAGCTTTCTGCCAGCATTTTTTATATCTATCTATTGGCTACTATATAATCCCTTAAAATATATATATTTAGTTTAAATAAGAATATTATACAGTTGGATAAAGGCATAATGTGGGTTATTGGGAAAAAAATACATTGAATATGAACTAAATTCGATAGTAGTATTAACATTTCAGCTCAAAATTCAAAAGTATTAACTTCATAGTTTTTTGATTGTTTTAAGCAAATATAGGTTTATATATTAAATACTGTTTCCACATTAGCCATTTACCTACACCAGTTGCATGTAACATGAGTATGCCCTATTGGCTAAAGTAACATTATTAAAATATATTTAAAAGATGTTCTCCGACATAAGGGTCTAAAATTAAGTTTTTTAATAAGGTTATATCTAAATTCTTAAGATATTTATTTTTAAATATAGGAAGCCTAATACTAAATCATCATTTAAAACATTTCGTGAATTATAATACAAATGGTTTATCAATAATTAAAATATACATCATAAACTTAATTATTCAATTATTGTATTTTTGTTTACAAATTATAATATATACCTGCATATCTGATCAATCTAAAGAAGATCCCATGTAAATCTCCTTGGTAAATAAATATAAAATGACTAGCCAATTTTGCGCTAAACAGGATCCATTTCATCAATTAAATTAAGTTTAGAAAGTCTATGCTCACCAGGCGCTATGGCATCGGAATTTTTTTTAGGGCGAGTGGCATATTCAAAAAGGCGTCAGCTACTTTATTAGTGTGGTTAGAGAATTAAATGTACATAGGATTGTGTTTAGTATATGTAGGTATCAGATGTACAAAATTGAGGGGGAGGGGAGAATAATTCCCCCACATCGCAAATTTCCTATTCTCATAAATATTATATTAAGCATATAAAAAATGTCCCCTCTCCTCTATCTCTTCTCCCTCAAGAATGTATAAAATATATTATTGTAAAAAAAAGAATTTGAAGGAAAAATCATTAAAAGTGACTTTTAAAAATAATGATTATAATTTAAAAATTCTAGAAAAAGCATTTTTATAAAAAAAAATAAGTGAAAACCCTACTTCTAAAATTATAATATAGCTAAAGACACCTACAATAAATGGACCTAACGACCTACAATAAAATTTATGGGGAAAAATACCCCCCCCCCCCCCCCTCCTAATTTAACATATCTTTGATACGCCTATGGTTGGCAATAGTTTATCAAATTTTTTAGTTAGGATGATAAATTTATCAAGGGCACTTTCCATTGAATTTTGCTACATAAGAAAAACATGTATATTGAACTAAAAATCAGTTTCAAGTGCCCTGAAATGTATTAGTCTAAGTTGACATAAGATTTCGCAGTCCTCAAAATTTGCTATCCAGTGTGCTATGCCATAAAAAAATAACAAAGAGAAATTAGGAAATATTGAAAACAAAATTTCCAATTAATATGCGAAATCGGCTGGACGCGACCAAAGTTTGATAAAATAAGAGCTGAGAGGTAAAATCTTATTCCTTTCTTCCATTGAGAAATCCTCACTCCATCACTTGTCAAATCTAAGATAGTTCTTACAAAGAAAAACTCACATATCTATACCTCAAAAATACTGGCAAATAATATTTAAAAAAAAAAAATTTATGCATAATGCTAAAAACCATAACAAAATTTTAGAGAGAAAATTTTAATTAACATCATTCAATTAGATAATGTAAAAAGCAATGTTACACCTGACTTTGAAATTTCAAATTGGCAAAAGAATATAATATATTTGTAAGTTTTCCTTTATTTTAAAAAGTATAAATTATTTTTTATTAATCTATAGCTATTATTTATTCCATAATGAATTTTATTACCTATATGATTACTGTCCAAATAATTTTAGCTGGTAAACCCGGATAAATATTTTCACATAAAATTGATAATTGAGAGCTTATTTTTTATTTTATATAAAATTGTTGGCTTTAGCTTTCTTAAAAAAAATTATTTTATGCCAAAAAATACTTTTTTTAAAAATACCATTTATATTGTATGATATGAATACTAATTTGCCTACCAAAAAAAAGATCCACCCAGTAAATCCACAGTGAAAATATTGCTTGTGGGATAGCAGACTTTGCAAGTCATCGAATCGGTCAGTTCTGGAGTCAAACAAGGTGAAACCAAATTATAAACTAAATATAAATTATGATTCACACTTTATTCATTAATTCATATTATTTTTTATCAATTATATAATTTTTTTGTCACAAACTTTAATTTACTGCTTTTTTAAATATTGATATAGGTTTGTAAAAAAATAGTTTAATTTAATTTTTTCACTAAGAAGTATAATCACCATAACTCGCTATGAAAGGTTTGCTACATCTATTTTAAAAATGTATAAATTGGCCACTATTTACTCTTCTAAAAATATATATATTTGGGTAAGGATAAAAATCTAATGTTGGTTATCGGGAAGAAAATATATATAATATGAACTTAAGTCTTATGGTAGTACTAACGTTTCGGCTCTAAATTCAAAAGTTTTAACTTTATAATTTTGTAATTGTTGACAAATTAATAGGCTAACATACGAAATACCTTTTCTACATTCGCTATTTACCTGTACCAGTTGCATATAGCATGCTTGTGCAATATTGGATAAAGTAACATTATTAAGATATATTTAGGAGGTAATCTACAACCAAATGATCTAAAATTGAGTTTTATTACTAAGGTTATATCTAAATTCTTCAGATATTTATTTTTAAAATACAGAAAGCCTAATATTAGAGCATTTAAAATCGTGAGTTATAATACAAATGGTTGTTTAACAAATATGAATAGTTAAAATATAAATCATAAACTTTACTAGGGCAACGTATAAAATCATAAGCAAATTATTTAATTATTGTTTTTTTCTTTACAAATTATAATATATACCTTCATACCTGAACAATCTAGAGAAGATTTCATGTAAATCTCCTTGGGAATAAAAGATAAAATGACTAGCCATATTTGCGCTAAACAGGATCCCAGTTCCTCTATTAAATTAAGTTTAGAAAGGCTATGCTCACCAGAAATCAAGGCATCGGAATTGTTTCTGTAGGGCTAATGGCATATTTATAAGGGCATCAGCTACTCTAATATTGTGGTTATAGTATAAAACATATATAGTGTTTTTAGCATAAATTGACAACAGGCGTACAATAAAGGGGGGAGGATAATAATTCCCCCACATCTAAAATTTGCTTGTTTTCGTAAATATCATTTTAAGCTAATAAAAATACCCTCCCCTACACCCCCTTCTCTCTCATTTCCTCTCCCTCAAATATGTATTCAATATATTACTGCAAAATCAGTAAAGGTTAATGACTATTTAATGACTATAATTTAAAATTTTTAGAAAAAGTATTTTTATAAAAAAATAAGCGAAAACCCTAAATTATTCTTATAAAAATATTATGTAGTCAAAGATCTACAATAAGTTGATCTTAAGACCAACAATAAAATTTTTGGAGAAAAAGAAATTCTACCCCCTTAGCAAATCCTGGATACGCCTATGGTGGACAATAAATTTGTCAAAATTTTTGGCGGTAGATAGATTTAACCTAACAAGGAACTTTCTATTGAATTTCGCTACATAAGCAAGTAGTTTATTGCACTAGTGCGCTGAAATTTATTAGTCTACATTGATATAACATTTAACGTCCCTCAAAATTAGCTATCCAGTGTGCTATACCAATAAATAAAATAACAAAGAGAAAATAAGAAATACTGAAAACAAAATTTCTAATTAAAATGCGCAATCGGCAAGACCCGATCAAAGTCCAGTCAAATAAAGGCTGAGAGGCAAAACCTTATCTTCTTCTCATTTAAATCCTCACTCAGCCTTGTTAAATCTAAGTTAGTTCTTACAAAGAAAAGCACATATCTATACTATACCTGAAAAACAAATAATATTTTTTATAAAAAATAAATTTATCCATAATGCTAAAAACTATTAACAAAATTTTAAAGGGAAAATTTTACTATTGTCAATCAAATATATAATGTAAAAAGCAACTTTTTACCTGTTATACTTTGAAATTTAAATTTGCCAAAAGGATATAATATATTTGTAAATTTTCCCTTATTTTAAAAATTTTAGATTTTTCTTGTTAATTTATAACAATTTATTATTTATTCCTTGATTTTAAGTTATTAAACCCGGAAAAAATATTTTCACATATTATAAATTGATAATTGATGGCTTATTTTATATTTTATTTAAAATTTTAACCTTAGCCTTCTTTAAAAAAAGTCATAGTTGCCAAAAAATAACTTTTGCCAAAAATACCATTTATATTGTATGAATACTAATTTGCTTAACATAAAAATAAGCCACTCTGTCCACCACCGTGAAAATTTATTTGGGATAGTCTTAGAAGTTACAAGCCATTGAATAGGTCAGTTCAAGTGGCGTTATAGAAGTTGCAACCAAATTATTAGCCAAATAATAACTATTCACACCTTAAGCATGAAGTCATCTAAACTTCTAGATTATATGAGATGAGTAATAGATTAGGATAAATTATAGCGGCTTAAACTACATTTATATCTACAGCTTGCAAAATTGATATACAAAAAGAATTCTAGAATAATTGATAAAATTGGCGAAAATATTTTGTTTAATATACAACAATTATTTTAGCGACAATTAAAGGTAAACGTTCATGATTTTTTAAATTGAAATAACTATCCTATTATAATTATTTAATTTGTGTAAAAAAAATACTTTATTATCAAGGCTAACCTTCCCCCCCCCCCTTCGTATATTTATCGAGGTTTTAGGTAAGGGCTAGTATATAAAATATTTTTTATCTTTCGTTCTGTTAGGATTTGCTAGAGGCATATATCAGAATTTGCCCATGATGGTAAAATAATTTACTATTTTTTTGCAAGAAAATTAAAATGTTTTTTATCATTATTTTTATCTGTTTCGTATTATATATCAGAGACCTGCAAGCCCTGTTCGGCCCAGCCCGCTTCGAGTTTTTTAAAAATACCCAGTCCCTAGGTAAAAAAAATTCTTTAAAAAAAATACCCGGGTTGGGCCTATTTTAAAACCAAATATTTTAAATCGTCTATTAGCTATAAAAATTAAAAATAAATAAATTATATTTTAAAAAATCTGGGCCGGGCAATGCAAATGGCACCTCTGCAGGTCTCTGATATATATATATTGCAAGGGAAAAAAGTTATTATAAAAATAAAAATGAAAATATAGAACTAAATATCTTGTTATTTAGTTTAAGGTTAACTCCATTTGATATAGGGAATCTAGGGGATCTTTAAAAATAATATATATTTTTTAAAATTAAAATTGGAGTAAAAAAAATTCATAAATATATCATCCATGTAATAGAATTCCCCGAATAAAATTTAAAAATTTTGAGAAAATCAACTAAATAAAAAAAATTTCCTGGAAAATATATTTTCGAAAAAGATTTCTCAAATAAAATTGCTAACCAAAATTATAAACACAAAAAGTAGTTAAAGTTAAACTAAATTTAACTTAATTTTTAAAACATTATCGATTAACTCTAAACCATATAATGTTTACCATTATGGTTTTATCCCGAATCAGTGAAATTTAAAAGCAACTGTTCATACCCCCTATCCTAAATTAAGAAAGGAAGGAAGAAAGTAAGGAAGGAAAGACAGACAGAAAAAAGAAAGAAGTTTCTGTGATATTAAACAAAATACTATCATAATTTTACAGTTATGCTGGATTTTTCATTTTTAAAGTATACTATTTTTTGAGACAGGCAGGCCTCCTTTTAAATAATCTAAATCTGAAATTCGCTCTAAAAATTCACCCCTCAAAGTTTCGAGGTTTCAAGTAATTAATAGAAAATTAAATAAACTTTTGTTTGCCTTTAAACATTTTTCTCAACTTTTTGATATTTATGGGAGAGAATTTAAAAAAACTTTTTCTCAATTAGCTGGAAAATAATTAGGATTCGTTTAATATGAATTTACTCATATTCTCAATTCCCTTTCATAAAATAGTTATCAATATGATTTTTTATATCACTATTGTATAAATAATATAAGGTAATCGTTTCATTTTCAACGTAGTCACTCATTAAGTTAGTGTCACATTTTCTTTCCAAAATGTCAAAAATCTAAATAACATTGCGAATGTGGATTAGCCGCAAAAGTTTATCTATGAAAGCAATTAGCTTTAATAAACATTCGTGGTAAAAGTTTCGCGAAAATCTGTTTTCTTTATGGTTTGCCAAATTTAAAATTGTATTAGAATTTGAACAAAAATCTTCAGAAATTTTTTGAGCAAATATTTTGAAGATTAATTTTAAAAATAAATTGTAATTTCAAACGAGAAATATTTTTTATGTATAGAAATTATAAAAGATTTAATTATATATTAAAAACTATTATAAAAAATATTTGAAACTTTTAGGTAAAATTTGATCAATTTATCCTTTAAAAAAATTTTTGCTCTTTAAAGATTAAAACAATGGAAATTTTAATAAATAAATAATTTATTTTTTGACCAATAAATTCATTGCAGTCGCCTACCCCACCCTTTTGTAATCATGAAATCATAATATACAATGAATTTTAAAATAATAATTATGACGGTTCCACGTCATTACAGTGAAATCATTACAGAGAATGTTACAGAGAAACCTTTATAGAGAAAACAATAATAGAGAATGCACTTATAGAGAAAACAATTATAGAGAAAGTCGTTTATAGAGAATTATTTTATAGAGAAAACAATTATAGAGAACGTCGTTTACAGAGAATGATTTTATAGAGAATGATTTTACAGAGAATATTTTTATAGAGAATGATTTTATAGAGAATGATTTTACAGAGAATGATTTTACAGAGAATGATTTTATAGAGAATGTATTTTATAGAGAATTATTTTATAAAAAATTTTATTTAAAGAATATGATTATTTTATAAAAAAAAATTATTTAAGAATATGATTATTTTATAAAAAAAAATAAATATGATTAATTTATAAAAAATGTTATAAATTTTTTTGTAAATTTATGTGCTCTGCATAGTCAAAGGGGAAAAAAATTATATGAAATATTATTAAATATTAAAATTACCTTATATAAGCGAATTATTGGGCAGTTTTTATTGTAAGGAAATTATTACAATCGGCAAAATATTAAGAGTTAAAATATAAAATTATAAAAACACTATTTTCGAATTTTAGAAAGTTTTTTTATAATCTTATATCGTGTTTAAATAAAATTTTAGAAGGTTACAATTATATTAGTATCAAGTGGATAGTAAATTCAGGGCAATCAGCTCTGTATAATATTATAATGTAAAAAAATATAAATTTATTATTTAAATATATTTATTAAGAGTAACTAGTTACTTTGGACAGTTACTTTGTATAAAATGTAGTCAGCTACAGTTAGGATTTTTGTAAATGTAACTAGTTATAGTTATCTTTTATCAAATCTACTTAATTTAACAACACTTATGTTATTTTAATTCTTCTTATAATATTATTTTTCCTAAAAATTTTAAATTATAGTTGTGAAACACGGATAATTCTTTCTTTAGTTAAAATATATTTGTCACCTTAATCGTACAATCAATGTGCTATATCATAATATTTTTATGGCATAATTGTTTGGTTATCAATTAAAAACAATCTATGTTATTTTATATAAACGGCTCTCTATCATTGTTTTTTCTATAAAAATTTTTCTATATAATTGTCTTTTTCTGTAAATTTTTTCACTTTTTTTTAAAAAATTATGGCTGAATTTATTTTAAGTAGTCGAAACAATCAGTTACTACTTCTTGATTTTTACCTCTTTCAAAAGGAAAAAACATCAAATCAAACAACCTATTGGAGATGTATTCAATTCCATGTGGATGAATGCAGTGGGCGCGCTCGAACTAAGAACGGAATACCTATATTCCACAATAAAAAACATAATCATGTACCAGACATTGCTGATATTGAAGCAAGAAAAGAGATGAATAAAATCAAACAAGAGGTTTCTAGTACCCAATCTCTGCCCAATAATATAATGGCCGATATATCTAGCAATATATCTATAGCCGCCATTGGGAAAATGCCTAGTTGTTCCTTAATTAAAAGGACAATTCAAAGAAAAAGACGCCAAGTAGGAAGAGCGCCTGCCGTTCCCTTAAGCCTGATTGACTTGGTCATACCTATTGAATATCAATTATCCAATAATGATGAACAATTTTTGTTATATGATAGTGGTCATCATGATCACCGATGCCTCATATTTTCGACCATAAAAAATTTAAAATTTTTATCAACATGTGATAAATGGTATGCAGATGGCACATTCAAGACATGTCCTCCTCTCTTCCAGCAAATATACACCATCCACGGGATGAAACATAAAACCATTATCCCAGCTATTTATGTCCTGATGACATCACGTCGCCAACAAGATTACCTTAATATTTTCAATCAAATAAATTTCCAAATTTTTTTAAATCCTAAATTCATCATGATCGACTTTGAAGCAGCCTTATCTGCTTTTAAACAGTCGTTTTTACTGACTGCTATCAGCGGGTGCCTCTTTCATATGTCGCAATGCATATGGCGCACTGTTCAAAAAAATTCATTAATTTGCAATGCATATAAAACGCAAACAAATTTTGCTATGTACATAAAAATGTTAATGTCACTGGCATATGTAACAGTGGAGGATGTAATTCATGGATTCGAGGAATTATGTACATCTGAATTCTATCAAGAAAATAGGGATATTCTCGCCCCCTTGATAGAATACTTTGAAGAGACTGGGATAAAGCCCTTAAATAATCCAGCATAGTTCTTGAATAAAAATCTTCAACAATTAGAAAAATCCTATTGGATCTTTCACGATATTGTTTCTTTGACAGCGGGGCCATTAATCCTAAAGAGTATTGTTCCAATTAGTAACAATTCGGACTATCTTCGTCTTTGAGAGCTAAAAATGGAAAAGTTTTTAATATAATATAATTACTAACTCTTTATAAATTTCAAGATCGTTGGATGATGGGAACTTATATGAGACGAAAAACTTTGATGCCAGCCTTCTACTGAATTATTGGTATTCGGTTCACCAGCTAGTGTTGATTCGTAGCAATTCCATAGAGAAATGCTAAATATTGGCGACCTCCTCTCCATAGCTATCATTTTTCCAATCCACGTCTCTTCAAAGTATTCTATCAAGGGGGCGAGAATATTTCTATTTTCTTGATAGAATTCAGAGGCACATAATTCCTCGAATCCATGAATTACATCCTCCACTGGTACATATGCCAGTGACATTAACATTTTTATGAACATAGCAAAATTTGTTTGCGTTTTATATGCATTGCAAATTAATGAATTTTTTTGAACAGTGCGCCATATGCATTGCGACATATGAAACAGGCACCCGCGGATCGCAGTCAGTAAAAACGACTGTATAAAAGCAGATAAGGCTGCTAATTCAAAGTCGATCATGATGAATTTAGGATTTAAAAAAATTTGGAAATTTATTTGATTAAAAATATTAAGGTAATCTTGTTGGCGACGTGATGCCATCAGGACATAAATAGCTGGGATAATGGTTTTATGTTTCATCCCGTGGATGGTGTATATTTGCTGGAAGAGAGGAGGACATGTCTTGAATGTGCCATCTGATACCATTTATCCAGGCGCGTACGCAGGAATTTGATCTGGGGGGGGGGGATAATAAATTTTTTTGAGAAATATTATTGTTTTTTAAAAATATCAAGCATAAATTTATTAGGACTAATAACTATTCCTAATACACAATTTTAAATTAATGTGAATTATAAAAAAATTATATGTAAAGAATCACTTAAATGACCCAAAATAGAAATTTGAATTTTTTGAGCCTTTACACAAAAAGTTTCTTAGGAATAATTGTATTTTGTATGTTATATATTTACAATGTAAAATCCAATCTTCGTTGGGATTGAGCTAATTTTTCAATTATCTCATCCTTGCTTGTCGCCAAATGCCTATGAATATTCAAAAGATCCAAACCTTTCAATCTACTTTCACATGTTGTACTTCTTGGTATGTTTTTCAGAGACCTGCTGGCCCGGCCCCTGGGCCGGACAATATTTAAATTTTTAAAATATACCCGGGCCGGGCCCGAAATTTTTTTAAAAAAACACCCTGGCCGGACCTGAATTTTTTTAAAAAAACACCCAAGCCGGGCCTAAATTATTTTTTTAAAGACACCCAGGCCGGGCTGTATTTTTTAAAACAGCCTATATTAGAAATCGTTATTATTAGCTATAAAAATCAAAAATAAATATAATTTATTTTTTTTTTAAACCGGGCCGGGCCTGAAAATTTTATTTTAAAAAAAGCATGGCCGAGCCTGAAAATTTTTAAAAATTGGGAATTTAATCTAAAATGTGTTTGAAATAATGCAGAGCATCCATAGCATTTTTTGGGACTATATCAACTATAGTTAATCTTATAAACATAGTTATTCAGCTAGTAGGGCATCATAAGATACTTTATCAATTTCATAATAAAAATCTAACAAATATTTTTTTTTCTATCACCATCTGAAAAAGGTTGGGAAGGCTTTTGTGGAAGTAATATTTGCAGATGTAAGTGCTGCATGATGAATTAAAAATTCATTTATTTGGGTTATAAATGTATCTGCATCTAAGATATACTCTTCTACAGATCATATATTAATGTTGTAACGATGAGCTTGCCTTGCTACAAGTCGAGGGAGACAAATATTAAACACGTATAGCTCTGCTTTTGACTCAACAATAAAATATGAAAATCTTCATCAACGCCCTAATTTCCTTTGTCATGTTTTTGAAAAGTAATACTTAAAATAGTTAAATAATACATTCTAATGAGAAATAAAATTTGGAATAAGCATTGAATCCAATAATTTTCTTGCTTCTGAGGAAATATTTCTTTCAGGCCATTGTGATATTTCAGTAATAACAAATAATTGGCCTAACTCCTTAATAGCTGTTAGTGCTTGATAGAAGAGGCTCTATCTCGTTGAGGTTGCAATTTCTTTTTCCCTGTTGGACCAGAAGTTTCAGAAATAATTATTATTTGACTAGAAATTTGAAAATGGTAGATAAATATTACGCCACTAAAAATTTGAAAATAATAAGTAAATATTAAGGCGGAAAATTTGAAATCGAAATTAATTGATAAAATAACTTATGAATGTGATAATAAATGTAATAAAATATATATTTAATATGAGATACGAATAAATATTAACAAATATAAATTAATATAAACAATAATATTTTTGAAAAATATATCGGCATCTGCATTTTTTGGCTTTGGGGGGGCGGGATTTGTCCCCCTCACCACCCCCCCCCCCGCTTCGTACGCCAATGCATTTATCACATGTTGATAAAAATTTTAAATTTTTTATGATCGAAAATATGAGGCATCGGTGATCATGATGACCACTATCATATAACAAAAATTGTTCATCATTATTGGATAATTGATATTCAATAGGTATGACCAAGTCAATCAGGCTTAAGGGAACGGCAGGCGCTCTTCCTACTTGGCGTCTTTTTCTTTGAATTGTCCTTTTAATTAAGGAACAATTAGGCATTTTCCCAATGGCGGCTATAGATATATTGCTAGATATATCGGCCATTATATTATTGGGCAGAGATTGGGTACTAGAAGCCTCTTGTTTGATTTTATTCATCTCTTTCTTGCTTCAATATCAGCAATGTCTGGTACATGATTATGTTTTTTATTGTGGAATATAGGTATTCCGTTCTTAGTTCGGGCACGCCCACTGCATTCATCCACATGGAATTGAATACAACTCCAATAGGTTGTTTGATTTGATGTTTTTTCCTTTTGAAAGAGGTAAAAATCAAGAAGTAGTAACTGATTGTTTCGACTACTTAAAATAAATTCAGCCATAATTTTTTAAAAAAAAGTGAAAAAATTTACAGAAAAAGACAATTATATAGAAAAAAATTTATAGAAAAAACAATGATAGAGAGCCGTTTATATAAAATAACATAGATTGTTTTCAATTGATAACCAAACAATTATGCCATAAAAATATTTTGATATAGCACATTGATTGTACGATTAAGGTGAAAAATATATTTTAACTAAAGAAAGAATTATCCGTGTTTCACAACTATAATTTAAAATTTTTAGGAAAAATAATATTATAAGAAGAATTAAAATAACATAAGTGTTGTTAAATTAAGTAGATTTGATACAAGATAACTATAACTAGTTACATTTACAAAAATCCTAACTATAGCTGACTACATTTTATACAAAGTAACTGTCCAAAGTAACTAGTTACTCTTAATAAATATATTTAAATAATAAATTTATATTTTTTTACATTATAATATTATACAGAGCTGATTGCCCTGAATTTACTATCCACTTGATACTAATATAATTGTAACCTTCTAAAATTTTATTTAAACACGATATAAGATTATAAAAAAACTTTCTAAAATTCGAAAATAGTGTTTTTATAATTTTATATTTTAACTCTTAATATTTTGCCGATTGTAATAATTTCCTTACAATAAAAACTGCCCAATAATTCGCTTATATAAGGTAATTTTAATATTTAATAATATTTCATATAATTTTTTTCCCCCTTTGACTATGCAGAGCACATAAATTTACAAAAAAATTTAAAACATTTTTAATAAATTAATCATATTTAAAAAAAAATTTTTATAAAATAATCATATTCTTTAAATAATTTTTTTTTATAAAATAATTCTCTTTTTATAAAATAATCATATTCTTTAAATAAAATTTATAAAATAATTCTCTATAAAATACATTCTCTATAAAATCATTCTCTATAAAATCATTCTCTATAAAAACATTCTCTGTAAAATCATTCTCTATAAAATCATTCTCTGTAAACGACATTCTCTATAATTGTTTTCTCTATAAAAATTTCTCTGTAAAATACATTCTCTATAAAATAATTCTCTATAAAATAATTCTCTATAAAATAATTCTCTATAAAATAATTCTCTATAAAATAATTCTCTATAAAATAATTCTCTATAAAATAATTCTCTATAAAATAATTCTCTATAAAATAATTCTCTATAAAATAATTCTCTATAAAATAATTCTCTATAAAATAATTCTCTATAAAATAATTCTCTATAAAATAATTCTCTATAAAATAATTCTCTATAAAATAATTCTCTATAAAATAATTCTCTATAAAATAATTCTCTATAAAATAATTCTCTATAAAATAATTCTCTATAAAATAATTCTCTATAAACGACATTCTCTATAATGATTTTCTCTGTAAAAGTTTCTCTATAATTGTTTTCTCTGTAAAAGTTTCTCTGTAATGACGCGATACCAATTATGACAATTATCTTATATTTCATCTTCACTGATTATATTATAACATGTTTAAATTATATGTATATTTAAAATAAACCCTATAATTGGACTGTGGTAGCAGTAAATAAAAAAACGGCGTCTACTAAATATAAAAGGTATTTTACTTATAATTAGACCCCCCCCTACCCCCCACCATTAGCCTACATGTACTAGCGGCTGAAGCTCTGACTTTTATAATTTAGTAGCGTTAGCAACAAAGTAGTCAATTAGGTTAGTGGCCTTTTTGGAACAAGTGAACACCAAAATAATATGGATTGGTTTACGTTAAATTTGGTAAACTTATAATTGAATATTTTTTTACCCTCAGGCGCTTAGGTTGCGCCATTGTTTTAGTAAATTAATAACTAATATTAACGTCATTTTTATACTTGAAAATAGAGAATGCCAAATGATATTATGAATTATAGCGTATTTCGGATGTATTCTGTATTTTAATTTTTTTGATATAATTTTGTTTGTTGTTCATTTCAAAAATGGGTTATTATAAGATTTTTAATTTATATTATGCTAATTTTATAAAAAAAATTAGTATCGAAAATGTATCTTGGATCTTTTATATATATTTTACTTTTTTAGTGAATCTATATCGGAATTTAAATTCCTGCTTAAGCCACCATATCAGTTACATGTCATAATTAGTTAGAAATGACTTATAATAAAGAGAATCTAATCGGAAACTTGAGAACAATAAGAGAGAGTCGACCCAAGGAGAATTTAAGACAAGAAACTATAAAACTATAACTAAATAATTTCTAAACCAAATATTGGCAAAATCCGTTTACTAAACACTTTGGTAAATATCTAATTAGTATAAAAGAAAATAGATTTTGATCAATTTTTTAAAAGAAATATATTTTTATAATATATACCAAAATTACCTTCTTTCTCAGGTATAAGCGATTTAAACTATTGTGAGCTTTTATTATCATAAACCGTTTCGGAAATATAAAAACTAACAAATTATAAGCACTTATAAGAAATTTGCAACATAAACAGGGAAAAAAATTAATAGCAAAATAAATCAGAATCAATTTTTTTTATAATTTCATTGTATAATATTTTAAAAAACACTTTATGTTATGGTAATAACCTTTTAATATTTATTGTTTTATATTTAAAAGTTTAATTTTTTTTTTAGAAATGCTTTATCAGGTTTCATAAACTCTCTTTTAAAATATCTATTACGTTAAAAGTCGATTTGCGTAATCAGATTTATTAGCCATGCAATATCACATCTTGCAAGATTTCCTTGAAAATAAATAAGGATAGATATTCTACACATGATTAAATATATTTTCCTAAAAACAAATAATACAAAAATTTCGAAAAAATATATGATTTAAAGTTGGAAATAACAGAAATGCTTTAAGAGTTTTTTTTTTAATCTTTAAAAATTTGATTTTGCAGGGCAGAATAATACATATTCTATAACTTACAGAAAATTCAAGTCTTTAGGTCAGATGCCTAAATGGTTCCAAAAATGTTTCACCAAAAAAATATGTTTATTTTTTTGGATATATACTACTAAATTTGGTTATGATATATATAATAGAAACCTGCAAAGGTAGGGCCGGGTCCTGCCTAGATTTTTTTATAGGAAAATTTTTGGCCAAGCCCGATTTTTAAAATATATTACACTTATTTTTAATTTTTATAGCTATTAATGGCTTTTTAAAATATTCGATTTTAAAATATGCAACACTACCCAGGTATTTTAGGTATTTTTAAAAAAATAATTTTAGGCCCGACACGGGTATTTTAAAAAAAAAATTTTTAAGCTCGGCCCGGGTATATTTAAATTTTTAAAAAATAAACAGAGCCGGGTCTGCAGGCCTCTGATATATTTAAGAAATCGTGAATTTCGAAAAGAATCTGTGACCGTCGAAAAGATTCCCTTGTCAATCCGATGGTTCTGAGTGTAAATTCAGGATTAATAATCCGTTTCATCTTTTAGGGGATGATATATAATAGATTCGATTCGACGAGATTAATATTTATTAAAAGTCTATTTAGAAAATTGATATACGTTGACTTGGCAACCAAAAATATGCTCTTGAGAATTTTTAAATGCAAATTCAAATTTTAGCACCTCAAATGTAACTTCTAAATTTTTTACATTTCTAGTAAATATTTTATATTATAAAAGTTGCTCTGAGATTAATATCAATTTTATCATTTATAAATACATTGCCAATATTTATGTCAATTTATTACCTTAAAATTGACTTTTGAATAAATGTGAAGATCCCAGGTAAGTTTTAACGTGGTGCGTATTAACCGTCCATTTTTAAGCAAGGATTTATTTTTAATGAAAACAATCCAGCTATATTTATAAGAAACCCAGAATTCGCGAGGTTATCTAGGGTCATAAATGATAATATAAAGATGTTAGTAAATTATATGATAATCTTAAGTGACAACAAGATAAAATAATATGGATGAAGTTGGGTTTTCAATTATTTACTTAGATTAACATTTTTATATAATTTTTTTTTAGAAAGGCTAAAAAGTAACCGTTTAATTGATAATTCTTTAAAAAAATTTTAATTAATTAAAAAAATTTGATAATTATACCTTAAATAAATATTTTGAAAATTTTACTTTGATAACTTCAGTTACTGGTTCCGGTTGCCAAACCCCAAAAAATTTTAATTTATTTACCTTTCTTTCTTTTTCCTTGATTACTTAAATAAAAATATGTGTGAAATAATCATGAAATTAATATCGGTTTCTTTAGTAAACAATGAACAAAGTGGATCTGCAGGAAATTTTGTTAAAATATTTATTTTGCTTATAATTTTAGTGATTAAATGATCTTCTACTATGATCATATTCATTCATAAATACGATTTTTTTCAAACTAAATTTTGTGGTTATTGATTTAATAAGAAGATAATGAAACCTAAATCCTCCATTATTGGCTATTTTTCCATAGGATATACTTCTGGTTTAAAAAACGGGGTCAGGTCTAGCCGGACAACTTTAGTGTAGAAATTATATGTATTTTAAAATGAATTTTTTTTTGAATGCACTAAAAATAAAAATTCTTCATAAATTTTTTTAAAAAAATCTTCAATTAAAGCATGTTTTTCCTTTTGTATTATTAGAATAATATTGTATGATTCTTCTTAAATCTCATTCATGATTCAAAATAAAAATCCGATCTCAAATTGAGCTCGATTGCGGCATTAAAGTTATATTCTAATCTTATTCACCGAATTTTTTAATTATTATATCTCAGCAACCTATTAGTTAAATATTAACTTTCGCAATTTATGTTTCTATTTCTTTGTCAAAGTTATTTCTAGTGATCACTTGATAATAATTCTAAAATCTAAAATATCATAGTCTTTATTAGTTTCAAAATTCCATTGGTTTTTAGTTTACCAGTAACTTCTAAATATAAAATTCCTAATTATCACCTTTAAATAACTAAACACAATTATCTCTATCTACCATGACTGTTACCTTTGTCTTTAATTTTAGATTTTATATCCTACATAAACATAATCTTAACAACATAATATTTCCTTTTCATCTTTATTTATATATTTTTCTTACGTTCTTCTGGAATTTTTTTTTTTGTATTAGAATACAGTTTGACCCATCTCCTTGTTGTCCCACCGGTCACAGACTGCAGGTTGTTAAGGGCCGATCTCCTCCGCTCTTCGGCACCATTGTCACAACGACATGGTTGTCATTGTGCATCAAAACCTAAATATAAAAATAGAAAACAAATATATATATATATAAAAGGAAATTAATAATAATTAGGAATTACGAAATCATAAAATCAACTTTAATTCTTTATTCAAAATTATAATAGTAAACATCATAAAAAAATAAAATAAAATTAAATTAAAAAATTAAAAGTAAATTTTAGTTAAAATAATAATCCTCTTTTTCGCATCATAATTTCTCCATTATATATCCTTTTTCTTTAATCAACATTTACATAGTCTCACTAGCGAAGAATAAAAAGTTCTACATCCCACTTGTTAAAACTGTTAAAGTATGAAAAAATCTACAAATCTCACGCGTTTTTTTCTCATTTACATAGACGGGGATATTTTAATAAAACATTATTTTTGTTTACGATTTGCATAATGCATTTTTTTGTAAAGTAAAACTGCAACATAAAATAGTTCTGGTTTCGGTTCCATACATTAAAAATTTTTACAAAACCATTAAACTATATTTCATAAAAATATCAATTATCCTAAATTCAATATATCAAATTAATAAATTCCCACAAAACAAATCTTTCTTTCTTTCTTTCTCTCTCTTTCTCATTTTCTTTCTTTATTCCTTAAGCCCGCCCACCCGTTCTATAAATTTAAAATTATCATCAAAAATAAATGAATGTCGAGATCATTCATTATTTGGAGGATTGCGTCGCATATTCAAAGAAATCTATTTGTTTATAATCTTTTTTAATACATATGTCCTTAATTAAATATTCAAAGATAAATGTTTATTATGTTATTAAAATAAATCATGATATTTTGAAACAATATAAAAAAATTTTAAGAAAATCAAATTAACCTTTAAAAAAAACCCAAATAATTTTTATTATTATTATTATTTAAAAGAAAATATAAAATTTAAATATTTTTTTTTCATTACCTGTAAACAACACTAAATGTTATTTATGAATAATAATAACATAAACTAAAGATTAAAATTAATTTTCATAATCAATAAAAGTAAATAATTTTTACCTATTCTACAAAAATATATATTATTTTGACTTATAGAATAATCTGTAAAATTTTTTATCAGATTTAATACCTATTTCGATTCCCAAATAAAATTCAAGTAAATCATATTGATTTTTAGAATCCACTCAAAATGGAAAAAAAATTATCTAGATTTTCTAATGTAAAATTTAATAGAATTTTCCTTATTTGAAACAATTATTTAATATCGATCAATTTTTTGGTATTAATTATCAATCTCGCCTATTATATTGTTTATCAAGATGAGCAAGGTTCTGTTGAATGGATTCAATGAGGGATCGGATAAGACGTTTAATGACAGTCATAACCAATCATTAACTAAAAGTTATAGTGTTGATGTTAGTATTTTACTACTATTTTATATCTTTTTTATGGTTGCTTTTTTTTTATTAAACAATATCATATTTTAATTTTACTGATTATTTTATAATGCAAATATTTGACTGACTAATCGTGGTATTAATTAAAATTTTTCGAAATGACTCTAATTTTTTTAAAAAAATATGAATTAATCATAATTGAGATCTGTAAAATCAACTGCTCCGATCTCCACCCGTAACCTGATAGAATTTTTCTTCTTAGGTCCAAGCGCGGGCTCTTACAATTTAATGAGGATCATCTATTTTATTTCTATTTATTATATAATGTGATATTAATATTAATATATAAAAAATTTTCTACATCATGATATTTTAAAAAAAAATTTTTTAAATTTATTTTATAATTGTTAGAGGCCGGCGTAGTCCGATCTGCCCCATATTCTGAAAATCCGAACCGCAAAATTTATTGGATAAATTGTTCAAGATATTTTTGCTGGGCAGGCCGGTCCGTTTTCCTTTATTAAAAAAAGTACTACATGTCACGCAGGGAAACTTGTACAATTCATACGAACTGGCAAAAATAATTACGGGTTCAGTCGATAAACTCGGCTGTGGTGCGCATGGACCTAATTTGCAATATTCAACCAGGCAAAAAAAAGGAAGAATATGATAAATATATATCTAATTTAATAGGTCACGGGCTCGGCCTAATTTTATTGATCCGACCGGGCTAACAGGCCGATTCAGCGGCTCTAAATCATATTATATGTAACAAATTTATACTCAACATAGTGCGGATATTCTAGTCACATTCGAACCCTAATAGGGGATGCGCTGTTTGAAGAGACATTTCATAAAGGGGACGATATATTTTCCTCCAATTCTCCACCCACTTCTCCCGAGGAAGATAATATAGACAATATAAATAGTGCTGCATTTGAGATGGTTCACCAGATAATTGAGGGCAAGCTTAAAAATGGCGATATTCCGAATGATCACAATTATTCAGATAGTAAATAATAAATGACTTTAATCTATTGCGTTAATATTTATTTTCCTAACATATTTTAAGCCGCATTTGATTTCAGCCCCGGCTGTACCAAATAGCCATTTTTTATTTTGGGGTAATTAAAACCGCTAGCGAAATTCTTAGTATTCCATTATCACTATTAATATTTTTTTTTGTACCATTATAAAATATTTGATTTGCTTAATATAAATGAATTTCGTTTTAGATTCAAAATTTCTTCATTAGTTTTTGATCGGTAAAAATAAAAAAATTGTACAGTAAAATAAAAAATAATGTTTTTTTTATTACTAATAATGAATCTTGTGTAATGATAAAGGTCGTGGAGATTCAACGACTGAAAAAATTTTTTGCATATTTCTCATACTGATTGAAAATCTGTCTTCCTCATGAGACATTCCCTAAACTAACCTTTGTAAGGAGAGTTTTATCCCGCGAAAATTTAAAGTACAATTTCTTACATTTTTTTTAAACCTTAATAAACATTGATGGTAAAAGAAAATTTTATAAGTCAAAAGAATTCGATTTAATTTATCTCTATACTAATAACTATGATTAGAACTAGAGTGTTTGAAATGTTTAGATATCCAAAGAATTTGATAATTATTTCTGATAATGACTGCTTTAGAAAAATGAGATTATTATAAATTTTTCATATAACTCCTTATAAAACCTTCTTGTGCTACAGGAAAAAAGAAATTCCAAATAGCTTGTATTATAAGATGAAGCCTTCGACATAAAGCTATTACAGAATTTTTTGTATCTATAATATCCTATTTTGTATACCCTTAATATCAGATTCTCCTAAAACACATTTATCTGAAGCTGATACATTATTAGATTTAATATGACTGCCGATTTCTTTCATTGTATTAATACACAACAATTTTATGCAATATTTTTCAAAAAATGATTTGCTTGAAGTTATGAGGATCACGAATATTATTATATTACAACTTAGAAGACTATGAGATAATATCGAGGAATTTTCGAGATTTATATGATTGTTGAGGTAATCGCGAAATTATATAATTTTGAGCTTCACAAGCTCGACTTTACCGACAAACAAATATTTCCAATATTAATGTGGACTCAATTGAGGTTTATTATAAAATAAGCATTTTTATTCCACTTGGATTAATTTTCACTCAAATCAAAGAATGATTTGTGATTTATTAAATGGCTCTATAAAACTCTCTGATCTGAGGACATATCAAATCTTGATATTGAAAAAAATATTGAGCTATGTTTTATTCAGAGGATATAAATTCATTTGAACGTCAATTATATCAGAATTTAAATGGTATGAAAGATTCATTTTTATAGATAATTCTCCAGGAAATACAATGGAAGCATTGCATACTTTAGAATATATTATATAGGTTTTCTAAATATATTAATAATAAACAAATGAAAATTATCCTGATTTATGTAATTTTGTAATAGAGTTATAAATAAATATTCTACTATAATTTTCTTTAAAGGTAAAATGAATTATCTTGTAAGAATTCAATATTTTTAAGATTTTCTATTGATATTTCGAATATTATGAATTATAAATTTCCGGGATTTAGTGAGCGTTCTAAATTTTGTTCCCAGGAATGTTTCCGAATAAATGTCTAAAATGATGAAAATTTTTGGTCTCTACATTGTTAGAGTTAACATCCCAAAAATGTAAGACTCTATTTTAAATCTCACGACATAAGGGTTTATTTAAGTTTGAAAACAAACATTTAGACTGAATCATTAAAAAATATATATTAAAAAAATTACACATTATATTTGACTATTAATAGGTAATCAAGGTAAAAAGTTGCATAATCAAGAGATCTATGATGACGAAGGAAGTAACATAACTTTCATAATACTTGGCATCCAAAATGAACTAACTCACGCCTTAAACGAATTGCTAACGGCTTCTAAGGTTAATTTTCACGAACCTTTCGTTATCAATATAAATATATATACCTTTAATGTGCTTGATCCTGCAAAATATCTATTACCTGATTAATATTTTTGGCCAATCCTTGTAATTAGTATATAAATAGTAAATAACTCAAAAGTTTCTGATTTCAGACCAAATTAAATTTAATGGATATATGTATTTTACACAACACACACTGGATCTTTTAGGCATAATCAAATTTTTCTAAGTTTTGAAAAAGGGCTCAGCGAAATAATTTGCTAATTTATAACTTAAAATTATTTATTTTGTTAATTTTTTTTAAATCTCGAATATTTGATTTAGAAGGAAATGCATTAGAGTTTGTATAAAATACTTACACTATAAAATTCTGACAATTTTTTTAAAATATTACAGATATTGAATGATTACACACTTTGCCGGTGACATATAAACAGGAATCAATTAATGAGAAATAGTTTTTATATAGTTCAAAATTACTATCATTATTCAATGGGTGCTAAATTTTAATTAAGTTATCTTATATATATTTTTTTTGATATATGTAATAATAGAAATACAAATACAATATAGTTCATGTTGACACTAGACTTAATAAAAGAGATGAAGATTTATTAGATGTAAAAGCTAATGGGAAAGGGAATGTAGATTACGATGATAACAGAAATATAAATTTAACTATGGATATCTTGGTAAAAATCAGATTTGGAGTAAAAGACAGAAGGCTATTAACTAGCGTCACAAAATTTTTAAAGGAAAAGTTTGAAGGCAAGATAAAGTTCATAGCTAGTATCGGTCAAAAAAATATAGTCAGAAAAAAATTAGCAGCGCCACTAGATGTATCAGATGAAATGGATTCAAAAAGTTTTTTTTTATAACATTTTTTTTTTATTATGTTACATATTTGTGGTTCACATTTTTTTTTTGATTACTCTCATTTTTAAAAAAATAAATTTAAATTTCTGTTATTTAAGAGGGAATTGAGGTGTTCGAGTAGATAGTATTGTGAATCAAATCTCTTTGAATCATAATCATATATTTTTTTATAAAATTTATTCGTATCAAAGTACTATCATAAAATATCTTAAGTATTATAAATAACATTTTTTCAAAATATATATATCTATCTCAAATTCAAAAACATCTTTTTAATCGATACAATAATAATGAGTAGAAAATAATAATCGATTATCGAAGTTGCGCAATATAAAATAAAATAAAATGTAATTTAAATTATGATATAAAATGAATTTAAGTTAAATAATAAAATAATTAAAGCAAAACTAAATTAAATATAAATCGTATAATATTTTTGTTATTGCCGTAAAACATTAAAACTAAAACAAAATCATTTAAATAAAACTAACACTTAAATTGAGACTTAAATTCGTCAAGGCCTCGACTTTTTGATATATACTTTCGGGTGGGTTATAAAAATTGCTTTATTGCTATCGCTTAACTTATTCATCTATCATTAATTTTTAAAATCGAATGTATATCGCGAGTTATCTCGATATCACCCTTGGTGCTAGACATAATCATATAGAGGAAATTTTAAATTAATTTTCTTTTTATAAAAATTTTTTTTACTAAATTTAATATATTTATATAATCTTTAAATAATTTATTTTATTATCCATTTTAGTATCTTTATCAAACAAAAATATTGTAACAAAACATTTATTTTTATTTTTTATAGATATCCTTTTACTTTATATTTCCTTTATTGATAAGTAAGAATCAGCTATTATTTATGTTCACCTTCAAAGAAAAAAGGAAGAAATCCGCTGCCATGATAATTAATATTTAATTTAAAGTATCGATGATATATTAAACAAGAGATACCATCTTCTCCTCGGAGCTGCCAAGGCAGCCACCATGTTATAGATAGGGGATTGAGGTGTTCGAATGGATAGTAAAACAAATTTTTTTAAATCATAATCAAATATTTTTCTATAAATTTATTAGTATCATAAAATATCATAAGTATCATAAATCACATTTCAAAATATATATCTATCTCAAATTCAAAAACATTTTTCTTTTATATTTATCAATAATTAGATATAAAAATAATAAGTAAATAATAATCAATCTAAGTTACGCAATAATAAAAAAAATGCGATTTAATAAACAATGATATTTAAGTCAATAAAATAATAAAAACAAAACTAAATATAATTATAAATATAAATATAAATCGTATAAAATTTTTGTTATTGCCGAAATACATTAAAATTAAAACAAATATCATTAAAATAAAACTAAAAACTTAATATAAACATATATAACACTTTTTTTCTTTATTCCATAACTATCTTTGATAAAATATCAATCGAATAACCAATAATTCGTTCATGGGCTTAGATTCATTTATATTAACGGTTAAACATGATATAAGCTAGAAAGAGGATACTTTATTTTTAATTATATGTTTATTATCTTTTTATAAATAAATAAAAAAAGAGGATATATGGGTACCGAAACATATATCGGATTTAGACTTGTGCAATCACATCTTAGTAAAATTCGAGCCTGAATTGCATTGCTCACATCCGGTTGGTTTCTAAACAATATTTTATTTTTATCATATAATTATTCTTATTATTGTATAGGAATATAATAATAAATAAGATAATATTAACCACATAAATTTATATGATAAAATTATCGTTTCCTTCCCTATGTTATAAAATTGTGATCATAATGATTTTTTAAAATAAATAAAAATCTTGATTATTTTGCAATATCTTTGCCATAAATGTATACAATTAACAAAAATAATAAAAAAATATTAAACTATTTAAAATTTAATTTAAGGTTAAATATATTTCACAAAAATTAGTTAAAAAGGTGTATTAAAATTTACAAATGAACTTAACAGTAATTGAAGTTAATTAATAAGATCTCAAGAGCTATGATAAAGTATCATGTGGATAGGAAAACCATTTAGTTTAATACTGTATTCATCAGCGTATTTAGGGGAAAAGATCAAACAAAATTTTTTATATTTATAAATATTATTAAAAAATATATGTAATTATAAGCATATCAAATATTGAAATAAAGTAGAAAAAATTTAAAATTATTTATATGTAAACATTTTCTCTAAATGCTTGATTGAACTAATAAATAGAAATATTTAAAAAAATAGAGATGTTGAGAATTGTCCTTCTGAAAAGTAATTATATAATAATATATTAGTATTGTTACAAATAAATTTCAATAGTTGTAGTTTATTATACTTTTACCTAGCAACATATGTCAATATTTAATAATTAATCTTTAAATCTTATATCGCCTAATTGCACATATTACAGGGCTTTGCTGATAAAGAATACAGAAACAGAAGGGGGAGTATCGTTAAAATGGCATTCGATTATAAATTGTAAATACTCGAATATTTTATTATAAAATATAAGATATTTTATATATTAAAATAATAGGAAATTAAGACTACTAATATCAAAGATGGTAAAACTAAAAGTATCAGTACAGTTTTAGGTCAGCTTTTGTTCATATCGATGTAAAATCTATTTAATATATTATTTAAAGTTTCTATTAATAATAACACTTATGTTTACTGATTAATTATATTTTATAGCACGGATGGCCCTATACCTAGGGTAAACTATACTCCGGGAGAAATCAAAACATGGTAAAAACATTCTCATTTAATTCAAATCAAACATATCGAAAATTCTATAAGTTCATTTAATCCTTTATGATTTTTTTTACAATTTTTATAGGTCGCTCATATACAAAAAATGCAAAGATTTGCACATGCACCACGCTTGCGAAGAATATAATAGAGTGTTTGAATTATTGGAAAACGAAGGTATTTTTCGGCCAACAGTTGTCCCACAATTAGAGGATCTATCCAATTTTTTGAAAAGTATACATTTTAGAAAATAACTTAATAATTTTTAATGGCATTTAATCCTAATCTATTAATTTATTTCCTATAAGACTTATAGTATACATTAAAATTTTTGTAAATTGAAACAAATATTAACCTAGAGAAATCGGGATTTCAATTGCGGCCAGCGGCTGGTTTACTTACGGCCAGAGATTTTCTAGCTAGTTTAGCTTTCAGAGTGTTTCAAGCCACTCAGTACATGAGACACACTTCTGCACCATGGCATACACCCGAACCGTTATTTATTACTTCTATTAATTTTCATTTTTCTTCTTCACTTTCCTTCATAAAATTAATAACTTTTTTAATTTTTATTTAAAGTTTAATCTAATTTATAATAATTTGTGGCCCTTTTTTTTATGCGAAACAAAATATTAATTTATCATCAAAAGTGACGTAATTCATGAAATTCTTGGTCACATACCTATGTTAGCAGATCCCGAATTTGCCCAACTATCGCAAGAAATAGGATTAGCATCTTTAGGTGCTAGTGATGAGGAAATCGTTAAATTGGCTACTGTAATTATATTTATAAGAATATATATATATCAATCATTGGATATTCTTCGAATACAAAAATTTTCTTTAAAAAAAAATTAAGCTCTATTGGTTTTCAGTGGAATTTGGTTTGTGCAAAGAGAATGGACAAATAAAAGCTTACGGAGCTGGACTGATGTCATCTTTCGGAGAATTAGAAGTTTGTTTACTTTTTTCCTAGAACAAAATAAATTTATCTTATATAGTTGTATTCGTTGATAAGTTGTATGTTAACTTTTTGATCGGTCAAATGCGACCATTCAAATACTGGTCAAATTAAAAATAATTATTTTCACCTTAGTTAGCAATGTTGGATATTATATTTTAATATATATAATAGATGTTAGGATTCGATTCCTTCTATTATTGATAATTTATTTTCGTTTAGTAAGAATCGCCAACGGAAACAACGGAGCTAATATACTTTCCATGTATATTTTTTTAAAATAATTCTGGAGATTGTTGTATAATCGATATCTATTTTTTGTGACAATGTTACCTCAAACAGATCACTTTATTTCTAAAGAAGGGATTTAAGGTACTAATTTTTTTTAAATGGCACCTTCTTTCAGGATCATATAAGTTAAAATAGAAGTTCCTAGTAATGGGCTTTATCAAAAATACACTATTTTTAAGATGATATATATTTTGTATCTAGTAAATGGCAGTATTGTAAGCAGCACTCACAATTGTATAATAGCGAATAATGCAATATTTGGACTGACAATCCTAATGCTAAATATTATCCATAGGCAAAAACTACAAAACCTAGGATAGAAAGATATTAAAATGGACTAGATAAAATTTACATTTCTCTCCTATACAATATATATTTTTCTCTTCTATAAGGTGTGAATTTAAAGGAAGAAAATATTATAGCCAAATGTTTATTAAGTATAAAAGAGACAATATTATTCTCAAAAATTAGCTTTTTCAATTTAAGAAAAATTTGCTAATGCAATTGCTCATTTATTATTAAATTTGGCTTGGTCCTTTGGCTTTCAAGCGAAACGGCATTTTGCTAGTATATTTTGCTTTTTCATTATTAAATTTTTTAACATTTGCCCATTTGTTATATTATTTAGCTATTTGCTATTAAATTTGATTCCATTTTGGGCTTTTAAGCGAAATGCCATTTTTCTAATTAGCAAGTACTTTTGCTCATTTACTATTAATTTTTCTAATTTACTATTACATTTGCTCATTCACGGGGTCTCGTTCATTGAATTGTAAAGCTGAGAATTATTATCTTTATAGAATCAGCTTCTTACGCAGGTAGTAACCCTTATTGGGATCCTCGATCCTAGAAATTCGAATTCCAACTATTTAAAAAGGTTAAGGTGTGAGAGCCGGACAACGTTGTCGTGACGATTATGGGCAGAGTTGGTAGGTATTGACGGCGAATATCTAGCGAGTTTATTAGCCTCAATATAAGAGCATTCCTATTTATATAGGAAGGGCCAGGAGGATCAATACACGAGGAGTTCCAGATTAAGAATTTCCCCTTTTGAAAGCGATTTGGTAGAACCATCAGAACGTTTACCATTGGAACTGTAAAGACCTATGTCTCGTGATGGAATGCCAGCAGATTTTAAGGCCCTGACTTAAGTATTATTGCAATTTGAATTGAATCTGCGTCTACAACGCTTATAGTTAAAAGAGTAATGTTTCACAGAGAATAAAATAGGGTATTACCATTTCAGAATTGAGTCTCAGACCACGGCATGACGTATCTCATTGTTTCTTAGTAGTTGATTAAGTTTTCTCAATGAGAAAGTTTCGAGAAATTCGTACCACTACCTGCAGAAATGGAGAAGAATAGAGATTGGTCCTCGTGTTGGCTCCTCGATTTAGGTATACAACGGAGTATAGGGTTATCCCAGCCCTTATGTCATGCTGATGAGGGAGGATCGACTCATGAGAGAGATTTGAAGAGATCTTACCCGCAGAAGCAAGGGGTCAGGATGTTTGTAACTGTGTGTATGATAGGCTCGCAGCAGGTGAGAGGATATGAAGGCGCTTATGGAAAGTAGCGAGGGCGATCTTATGTCAATATTGCCGGATTTAGTTGGTAAGGTAGCCTGTAACCAAGATAGATGCCCAAATTTAAGATTGAGTATTTCTTCTGTAAGGCATTTAATTCAAGCTAATGCGCAGTGAGGATGACATCATATTGAAAGATTTATGAGGATTGGAGTATATATTCTCGGAATTAGAAGGTAGTTCTTCAATATTAAATGTTTATTTGTAAAATAGTTTATTTAAGAGGTCAATTGACCTCTTGCCACACCGATGTTAGATCTCTATCCTTTCACATTTTGTAAATATATATTTCAATATTTAAAAAAAATATATATTTTAGCATTCTTTATCAAATAAGCCCAAGCTGCTTCCCTTTGAACCAGAAAAAACCGCTATTCAACCATATCAAGATGAAACATATCAAGACGTTTATTTTGTCACAGAAAGTTTTAAAGATGCTAAAGACCAATTATTGTAAGAATGAAAAATATTTGTTTACACCTATATTAGCTTTTTATTTATATACTAGAAGATAGACCTTCAAAAATGACGGGGAATGAGAATATTCTTCTTACTTTTATGATAGTTGTTACCTCTTATTTGAAAATAATATCCAATTATTATTCTTTTAATCCCCCCCCCCCTTCAGGCTAGGTTTAATCCATTAAAACTATGTGTAAATAGTATGGTTTGGTAAAATTAAATTTAAAGCTTTTACTTGACAATACCAATATTATTTGTTAAATATTACTGATCATTTATACCTAATATTTAATATTAAAAAAATTCCCAGGCAAAGTACAAAGCCATAATAATTTTGAAAAATTCTTCCAAGCCCAATGAATATAATAATTTTGGTAATTGAGAACTGAAATAAAATATTTAAATAATCATAATGTTAAAAATACAATCAAAATCAGATTTTCATTGGCATAGGTTTTTTTATCAGGCCGAGCCCAGGCTTGCAAAAAATTTTTTTTAGCCCAATGTCTGACTCATAGATAATAATAAAAAAATTCTCAAGCATTCTAGCTCATAATATTTTTCAAAAATTTTCCCCAAACCCAGCCTAATATAATTTATAAAATTATTTTTCAAACCCAGCCCAACCTATAAAAATTTTATAAAAAAATTTTCCCAAGCCTGGCCAACCCATAGTAATTTTCAAAATTTTCTACCAATCCGGGAGATAGGTAAATCTCTAAAAACCATATCTATTTTTTATTCTATTTTAACCCAGCTCACCCCTACTTCAGACAAAGGCCAACCCATTAAGACTGAGAATGAATACTATTTTTGAATAAAAATATATTTAAACTAGCTTTTACTTGAGGGCCATATAAATATTCTGTGTTAAATATTACACCTATGCCTAATATCAAAAAAATTCACAGGCCAGGTCCACGCACTTGGGAAAATTTTCTCAAAAAGCCATAATAATTTTGATAGTTGAGAACTGAAATAAAATATATAAAAAGTCACAATGCATTTAAAAATACAATCAGAATATAACAGTTGCATGGGCCTGGGTTATTGATCAAACCTGGCCATGTCTCCAAAAGAAAATTTCAGGCCTATTTCTAACCCATATTTAAAATTAAAAAATTTTCAGGAATCTAAGACTATATTAATTTTAAAAAATGTTTCTTAAGCTACTTCCAAGTATATATTAATGTGAAAAATATTTCCCAAACCCAGGAAAACCCAGAATAATTTATTTTTTCCTTGGATCCAGAAAAATAGGTGTTATGTAGGGGTTTATACGAATTAAATCTGTCTAATATGTATATATTTTTTTTGCCATTTATATTATTGGGAAAATTTTTCAAAATTAGGATCAAATGAAGGGGAAATATCTGATTTACCTATCATTCTACTGGTTAGCTCCTGGTATTTATATGAAAATCAAGAATACATATTAAAGTACCATGCTAAAAATATGTTCATCCTAATTTAAATTTTAAACAAACCACCACCCTTCCAAATGATTTATTACTTAGTTACAAAATATAAATTTAAGACATTGTTATTAAATTACAATAGAAAAAATAAAATGATATTCTAAGTTAACAAATAATAGGAGGTTAACTTTAATCATAGTTAAATTATATATAAGTAAAACAAAAAAGTTATACATTTAATCAAAAATGTTATAATAAGTTATGAAAAATCTACATTCTACTATTAAATTATGAAGTTATGAGAAAATATACAAAACTATGGAATGCATGTAGAGAGGCCAATTTCAGAAAAGATAAGAGAGATGCAAATATTTACTTATGCATAAAAATTACCTAATTAAGAGATATAAAGTTGTATAAAATTCAATGTGGAATGGATCCTTCTTAAAGGTTTTAACACAAAACTCTTATCTAGTAAGAATAAATTTTTAGATTATAAAATACAAATGAATAAAATACACATAAATTAAAATTACTAAATATATACTTTATTAACATATTTTATAAAAATAATGGAAAATTTTAGAACAACCCCAAATAATATAAATTTTTAAATAACACCTCATAAGATAGGAAAATTTCTGATTCATCCCTCATCAAATAAAAAGAAAATTCTGATTCCCAATATAATGGTTTATTTTAAATTATACATAAATTCAAGAATTAAAAAAGTATTTAAATAAATCTCGTACTTGAATTGGTACTTGATGCATATAAAGTTCTAATGATCCCTAAATATTCAGGAATAGGTATAATATTAGGTGTGTAATCAATGTATTAAATTATCTTGTGCAGGATAGTTTGAATTTTAAAGTTGCTAAAAACTTTGAATCGTATCTATTTGATTAATTTTGTCAGATTAAGAAAAATATATATTTTACCAGATTAAGAAAAAAGAATATTTACCGGGATTCGAACCCAACAATAATATATCTATTTGTAAGCGTAGTTCTTGCCCGTGGGTCACATATTATGCAAGTCTGAAGTTTTTGGTCATAGGTGGCACAAAGGCTTGGACATCTATTAGCAAAATCTCGAGGCTTATGCAATATTTTTCTGGCTAATATATTGAGCTAGCCGTTTTAAAAAATCCGCTCAAACTAACCGCTTAACAAAACAAGTGTATTCTTTTAATATTACAACTAAAATTTTATATAATCATTAATACACATTAAAAGAATTAAAAGGTTCACATAAAAATTATTTAAAAAAAGTATAAGTTTTAAGTAGGTTGGCTGCTTGTTAAACATATTTTTTTAATAAATGGGCGTGGGAATTTAGAAAAAACAACCATGAGTGGGTGGGCAAACGGATTAATTTTTTAGAAGGTAGGTGAGCAGGGTTAAAAACGCAATCATTGCATAACTATAGTGTAGGTACTTAATCAAAAGGGAATACATTTCAGGTCAAATCCGAGTATTCTAACCCTCTCATGAAATGCTTTTGAAATCCCTTCGGATTTCATATCCCTTTACGGCATATAATACAATTCTTGTTATTGAAAAATGTATATATTTATATATATATATTTATACATTTTTAAATAGGAAATATACAACGAAATTGCAAAGACCTTTCGAAATTGCTTATAACCCGTTCACTCAATGCATCATAAACTTGAATTCGGTGCGCAACATAAAATTATTATCCGATAGGTTGAATTACGATTCAAATAAGCTTGCCTCAGGGCTTAATAAATTACACACCAGTAACTATCTAAAATAAAACCCCACCACACCTCCCATAATCTCATTTTTTTTTGTCTTAAAAAATCTTAAATTTATTCAGATTTTTTTTCTATGCATCCTTTATTTATTACTAAGTAGGTAAAAAAATAATGACATTTTATAATACAGAATATTTTTTCTACAAATATGAAACTTATCAATGTTGTTTATTTCATGTAATATTGATGCGCTTTAAATGTAAAATATTAACAGTTGTTTTGGAAATAGCAAGTACATTATATAACTGAATTAATCGGTGATTTGATATTCTAGTCATTATGTAATCATTACATATATATTATTCAAAAAATATTATTAAACGGAAACTGCGTATTTTTTTATAAATAATTCTTAAAATATTTATAAATAGATTATATTATTATATCTATTTCTATCAACATAATTATAATAAATATTATATATAATATGTTAATTTCATTGAGGTTTAACTCGAAACCAATCTTATTCAATTAATTTATAGTTACCTTGCATTTTAACCAATAACTTAAGTTATAGTTCTTACTAAGTTTCAAAAATTATTGTTAATTATAAACAAGTTGTTATTAGATTATTGTTATTTTTTTAAAAAAATTTAGTTTTAAGTCCAGTAATTTCGTCCTAATAGGATTCATCCGATAAAGTTTTGAGCTGAGATTTGGGATATTACCATGGCACAACTTATAATTCTACGAATTTTTTTATATTATGCTTCTTTTTTTAAAAAAATGTACAAACAAATATTATAAGATATTTTAAAATTCGAATCTAGTCATCATTAACCCTCTTAAAGGTTAGTTGAGTAACTTCTGGAGACATTTTTGCACAAAAAAATATTATAATTTCTTGAATAAAAATAATGATTTATTATAAAAAAGTTGTTAATTTTTTCGGATCATTTTTTATTTAATAAAATAATTTTTTTTAAAATTTATTTCATAATATTATATATTTAGTAAATAAATTATTGATGATGTTTAAAATTATTTTTTATGTTTATATAGGATATTTTTCATAATCGGTTCCAGTCGGCTAGAAAACCCGAAATATCGGAGTATCAGCTAGGAAACCCTAAGTGTCGGGATATCGACCTTGATATCGTTATCTGCAAAAAAGGTTGTATCAGTGTATCTTATAAATTTAAACTGAATCTTTTACTAGCCTTAGTATTTATTTTAGTATAGAAACTTGAAAAGCTCTGAATTTTTCCATAATTTCTATAGGAATTCAAAATTTTGGATGAAGCTAAGAATTTTTATTGATTTTTTTCAGAATTTTTTGCTAGGACAATTTCGATTTTGATAAGTAAATTTTTTTTAATTTCAGAAGTTATTTTTGAAATAATCAGTAGGAGAACGAAATCACTCACAAATTATTTTTTGTTATTTTTTTAAAAAAATTCTCTATACGTGCCTTTTAGCCTATTTTTTGATAAGCCAGGAGCTTTAGGGATGGGGGTCAGATTTGTTTAACATATATATTACCTTGGGCATCAAACAAAAGTTAATGAAAAGGTTTTTAAACTGTTTAAACAATTATAATTCTTCCTGTAGGCCATATGGTGAGGGAAGAGGATTAAAACCCTTTGAAACCTAATATTTCGAATAAAGTCCAAAAATAAAAGCTAAAAAAGTATTCAATGACGGAATTGATAATAATTTGAGCCTTCAAATTAAGTCTAGATGGAGAGGGTGGGGGCCTGAAAACCTTTTCTAACATTAATATATTGACAGTTGTATAAAAGTTAATGGAAAAATTATTTTGAATGTTCTGTTAATCATCCCTTCAAGTCCTCGTTAATCTACTTTATTGAAATCGTGGGGGGGGGGGGGGGGGGGGGATAATAATTATAAAGACGTTTTTTGAAAAATATTATTAATATTAGAAACATAATTTACATATTTAGATTTCCAAATATCTTTATATATTATATAATATATTGTGTAGATCTAAAAAAAAGACTTTTTAAAAATAGACGACAAAAGACTAAAAAATTAAAAAAATTTACCGCAAAAAAAAATATTCGATAAAATATGTTTTAATTAAATCAAACATTTTTTTTTAATACAAATTTAATTATGTAAAAAAATTTTTTTTGTTATACCGCTATTTTTTTCTCCCTTTGATGTGGAAAATTTAGATATTTCAGTTCTACTTTTAGAGCTACCTAGCTAACGCTTCAAAATTCTTTTTATGTCTGATCTATTTTTAATACTTTTGATTTGACCTTGATTAAATATTCAGAATTTATTTGTTTACACTAAAAAGTTAATCAAGATCTTATACCATGTCCAAAAATTTAAACATATACCTTTTTTTTAAAAAAAGAAAAAACTCCATGTTATGATTTTAAAAAGGAAAAACTGTAAAAATTGACATTTATGACATTTATCTGTAAACACCAATCAATAAATGCATTTAATAAATAATTGCTTCTATATAATAATTAAATAAGGGTTAAAATTTATATTTAAAATTAATTCAAATTTAATTATTTACCTATTCCAGGAAAAATATTTTCTATTTTAGTAATCTCGCTGTAAGGACCTTTTCAAATAAGTATTATTTGTTAAAATAAAATTTAATACATACTATATATATATACTATTCCACGATAAAATTGAAGTAAATCCTTGAATTTAATCTAACTTTTCTCTAACACGGTGGAAAGAGTGGGCGGGTGTAATTCATGCGTCAATAACAAGTCAACCAAGTAGTCATCATACATAGCAGTATCCATTTTGTAGTTGAATCCCTTTATATTTTAATCAGAAGGGCTTAATAGTTTGGGGGGAGTCTAGAGAATTCTGAACTATATATCTATTTGAACTAAGCAACACTAAAGTTAAAATACCTGGAATAAAAAAATTTATTGAAAATGCAATTTCAATTATAAATACTATATTTAATTATTACTAAATTTTTCTGTAAAATTATTCTCTTTTTTAATTACCTGTTCAGTTTTTTTTTATTCCTTTTCTCAAGATGAGCATAGATCTATTAAATGAATTTAATGACGAATCGAAAAGGACATATAATGGCAAACAAAATCTAGCATTAGAAAAGGATAGTCTTGATGTTAGTAATTTACTTTTATGTTATCTCTCTTACGTTTCTTTTTTTTTACTATTCATACAGTTATATATATTTTTAGTGAATTTCGGATCATTTAATTATCATTAAATCAACGATAATAAATATTTGACTGATTTTGACAAATAATACCAACCCTTTTTGTTTTAAAATTATTTGACTTATTTTCCCTCTGTTAAACAATGCTTTTTGAAATTAATATTCATATTACATAACAATATCCTACTTTAATTAGAACGGTAATTCTAGACCCATTGGGGCCCTAGTAGGTGAGGTGCTGCTCAACGAAACATTTTTCTCCAACTCTCAACTTACTTTGCCCGAGAAAGTTGCATCTGAGATAGGTCACAAAAAAATGGTTAAAAGGCTCAAAATTAATGGTAAAACTTTAAAAAAAATGATCTACTTTATTACCTTCTTACTAGTTATTTGGCACAAATACATATAAGCAGCAGAATATAGTGTCATATTCTTGAAACTGAATATATAATAAGAATTTTTAGTCCATTTCATCCACCTGAAATAAGTTTATAAAATGTTATTTTTAAACTTGGTTTTTTTTTTATATATACTTTCTGATAGTTTTACATTTTTGAAAAAATTGAATTTTCAAATTTAAAATATATTTTTTTGAAACCCTTAAATTTTCTCCAGATACATTTTTTTATAATGAAACTGTGAAGAAACAATAATCCAAATTTGTTGCATTTGTTTATAGTTAATAAAATTTGTCTTAAAATTTATTAATTAATTATAAACCTAGTAGTTTACTTGGCAATCAAATTTCTTTCTTTCTTTTTATAATAAAATCTTTTTTTTTAAAGAAGATATATGGATACCGAAGCATATATCGGATTTAGACTTGTGCAATCACATCTTGGTAAAATTCGAGCCAGAACTACATTGCTCACATCCGGTTGGTTAACATTCTGAATTGCGATAATTTGTCATTTTTATATGAATATATATATATGTAAGTTGTAAAATCATGTCAATAAAACAATGTACATCAAAATATAAAAAATAAGCTTTATATTATTAGAGACTTAATAAACCAACTGACTTTTAGAATTATCCTGTAAATACTGCTACGATTATTAAATTAAGTTTTGCAGATTTGTTCACTGAATAGATCTGGTCTTTCTGCGACTCTAAATTTTAAAAGATAGTATTAGTTTAGTTACTTTTTAAAATCAAACATTCATTTTGTTCAATATTATAAGTGATTAAATTTTATATTGTCAAATAACACATCACAGGGCTTTGCTGATAAAGAATACAGAAAAAGGAGGGCCAGTATCGTTAAAATGGCATTCGATTATAAATTGTAAAAATTTGAATATTAAATTTCCATGATAATAAGATTTTCAGAATTGTTAAAAAATATTATTCAAATGAATCCAAATAGAGTTGCAGATGTATCTGCTTGGTGATAGAGTTTTTTTATAAATTATTTAAGTATAGACACAATTTTCCGCAAGATACATTTTTATTATTATTATGTAAGATTCTATTATTAAAATTAAAATTTGGAGTGAGCTAAAAAAAATTGTTAAATTGATGTCTTATCTACATAACAAATATATAATTAAATAATAATTGTCAAACTTTAATAACACATATACAAAATATGTAATTAAATGATATAGATTTCTTAGGCGTTCAGTATTTTTCCGCAAGATGCATTTTTTATTATAATTATGTAAGGTGAGCATAAATCTTAATTTAGGATTCTATTGTTAAATTTGAGGTTAGCTAAAAAGAATTTTGAATTGATTTCTCATCTACATACAAAATATATTATTAAATGATAAATAATGGTTAGATTTCATAGGCATTCGCTTGAAAACTTTAATTGATCATCAACTAATATTAAGAATTTACTATTGTTGTCATTAATTGAGTAAAATTGATTTTTTCTAGTTTGTTTTTGAAATGAATTAACTAGGACATAACATAGAATGAATTTATTTCAAATATTATTATTTATAATATAAAAAAAACGTAAAATAATGTTATATCAAAATATAACTAAAAAGTATCTGAAAATAGATACAGATAAATAATATCTAGAATTAGTTTCTTTATATAATGTATCTATATATTATTACATTTTTGTTCTAGATACTTTAACAACTCTGTTATTTTTAAATAAATTCCAGAATACACTATATACTTACTATGTTATTAAATGAATAATAAATATTTGTATCGAACCCAGCCGAACCATGTAACTAAATCTAACAGTTATGATTTAACATAAGAATTTTTTTGAAACGAAAAGACTGATCAGTTTACTTTCGAACCGGGTTAAAATGGTTCATAACATTTTTGAAATTATATCTATATATTTTAAATAAATGACATAATTTAAATTATTATTTTTTAATTAAATTAGTATAAATTTATAGGTGATAAGGTTTCTTTTTAAAAATATTTTTTTATTAGATATTAGGTATCAACAAAATAATATGAGCAATTATTATTTTTTTTTAAATTTAAAAACATATAAAATCGGAGTGAATCGAAAAGAAATGGTGAAAATGAACGAACCTACGAAAATTCCTTTAGAAATAACTGGAATGAAACTAATCCATTTAAATATATCTAACTAAGAATCGGAATCAAACTGAAGAATTAAACTGTCGGTTCGAACCCCGATACCCTGATTTTAAACGTGGGAGTTAAAAATTTGCATAGTTTTGCAAATTTTTGTTTTAACAAATAAAATTAATATCCCACCGCCGTCACCTCCTTCTCCCAATGAATAAAACTTTTTGAAATAATAAGATGGTTTAAAATTCAATTTTTCTAAGAAATTCCTTCCTAGGATCCATCTCTAAAAGAAAATGATGCCTCTAAAATTGAAGCCAATGGCTATTCATTCTGTATCCTCCTTTTTTTGTTTTAAGAAAATTTTATTTCGCTTTCAGTTATCTTGCATCATGAACCCCCCCCCCCCCCTTTTTGTATAAGAAATTATATAATATATTATTTATAGTGAAGAAATCTAGTTTATATATCATTTTAAAAGTTTTCTGATTGATAGTAATAAATGGATTATATGTTTACATAATTTTTCTAGCATGGATGGTCCCATACCTAGGATTCAATATACACCGGAAGAAACAAAAACATGGTTTATAAACTTATATATAAAAAATTTTAAGCATTCTTATAATTTAATTTCAAAAAATCTATTTAGAAGATCCATTCATTTAATTATTTATGATTTTTTTTTATTTGACAATTTTCGTAGGTCACTCATATACAAAAAATGCAAAGATTTACACATGCATTACGCTTGTGAAGAATACAATAGACTCTTTGAATTATTAGAAAATGAAGGCATTTTTCTACCAACAGTTGTCCCTCAATTAGAGGATCTCTCCAATTTTTTGAAAAGTAGTTTTTTTTTATTTAAAAAATGCTAAACCCTAAATTCATATTTTGTTGAAAAAGTAATAATCAAGTTAAATTTTAAAAAGTAAGGAACTTATTGCTTTTTAATTATATTTAACCCTAATCTATTAATTTGCATCCTATAATATAAACATACGTGTGTATATTTAGAATTTTTTTTAAATTCTAAACTTAATTAACTAGGAAAATCGGGATTTCAATTGCGGCCAGCGGCTGGCTTACTAACGGCCAGAGATTTTCTTGCTAGTTTAGCTTTCAGAGTCTTTCAGGCCACTCAATACATGAGGCACACCTCTATGCCATGGCACACTCCTGAACCGTAATTTATTGTTTATATTTATTTTTACTTTCATTGTTAAAATGAATAACTTAACAAGTTTTAAATAAAATTAATTTTCCTATACATTAAAAGTGACGTAATTCACGAAATTCTAGGCCATATTCCTATGTTAGCAGATCCTGAATTTGCCCAACTATCTCAGGAATTAGGATTAGCTTCTTTAGGTGCTAGCGAGGAAGAAATTGATAAATTGGCTACCGTAAAAAAATAATAATATTTATAATGAAATAATATTTTAATAGGATATTTATCTAATTTTCTAAAATAAATATAAAGCTTTATTGGTTTTCGGTGGAATATGGTTTATGCAAAGAAAATGGAAAAATTAAAGCTTACGGAGCTGGATTGATGTCATCTTTTGGAGAATTAGAAGTTTTCAAATTTAATCATATAATGCATTTGAGAAGTGGGTTAATTTTTTCTGGTTATATAAGATCTCTCAAATACCAATCAAATTAGAGCCCCTAAAAACTAAATTTTCTTGTTTTGAACCTATTTAATAATTTTTTAAAATTAAGTTTTGAACATGGCCATACCAGGTTATTTTTACGAAGTTAAATGAAGTATAAATCCTGATTGATTTGATCGATAAATTTGTTCTTGCTCTCTATAGATTTGCAATCGCCCAATTCAGCGTAGTTCGTTTATCAATTTTACTTTTGAAAAATTCTTGAAATCATGGTATATTAAATGTATTCTTACCAATTTTACTTTTGCACATAAATTTCAATCTTGATATTTTTGTATAAATTTTATCGCAATACCAACTATTTTTTAAGGGAGAAGGGGACTAATTAAAAAGTTTGATAACATATTGGATATATTGGCAGCTTTTGACATATTTCTATTCTTAGTTATCTCATTTTTACTATAGGATTTTATTATATTAACTAAAATATGACTTAATGACCCCATCCCTCCTACTTAAAACAGTATTAGTAATCATCTTTATCCAATTCACTTTCATCTTCATATTAGAGATCTTATAAATATGCGCAGCATGCTTGCATAAATTTATAAATTATTATTAATTTATATTCATCATATTGGATCTAGAAATAATATAACAATTAGGGTTTCTTCATTTGAAATAGACCATAACCCTAAAATAATCAATTCTGATTAGTTTGCTATAATGATGAGACCTAACAAGGTAGAAATCGGTCTATAGTCACGAAATTGATATCATATATATACTTAAAATATTCTAATATCTATAAATTTAATTTAAGTAATAATTTAACATTATAATTAGATTTAATTCCTGTATATGTTGGTCTGCCAAATTATAAATTATAAAATAACCATTGTTTTATATTTTTAGAATAAAAATTTATTTTGCCATCTATTGTTCATAGTTGAAAAAATTGATTAATAAACATATTTTAATATAATTTAGATATTTATATAAAAATATTTCATAAATAATAACATTTTTAATGTATTTAACGTATCAATTGACCTCTTGCTGACAATTATTAAAATACTAGCTTCTTTATCCCCTGATCTCGTTTTTTAACATTTTATATTAACCTATTATTTTATTTTATTTATTTTAAAAATGATAGCATTCCATATCTAATAATCCCAAACTGCTTCCCTTTGAACCAGAAAAAATTGCTATTCAACCATACCAGGACATAACTTATCAAGATATTTATTTTGTTGCGGAAAGTTTTAAAGATTCTATAGACCAAATATTGTAAACGAAAATATTTATTTATTAATGAGCCTATCATAACTATAATATAACTCATTTTTTAAAAAAATATATAATAATGTTATTGTGAAACATAAAATATATGACATGCATTTTTATAGGAAATATACAATGAAATTTCAAAGACCTTTCGAAGTTGCTTATAACCCGTTCACTCAGTGCATCATAAAGGTGGGCAACGTAAAGTTGTTATCCGATCGGTTAAATTACGAGTCAAACAAGTTTGGTTCCTGGGCTTAACAAATTGCCTCTGATATAAATCTCACCAAACATCTCTAAATTCATTATTTTGTATTCTTAAATTAAAATCCGTAGAATATGACATCAGAATATTTATTATAACCCTAAAATAGACACTCTTACTTTTATAAAGCTCTTGCATTTTTTACATGGATATTTTTTAATGCATTCTTTATTTAATATATGGTTCTCTGCAAAAAATAATTTTGGTATTTTATAATACCGAGTGTTTCTTTATATAATAGATTGAGATTTATAATGTGTTATTAACATTTCTATTTATATATAACAATGAAAAATATTATATTTTAGTCATATCATATATCATTTATTATTCAAATATTGTAGAACTGAAGAGCAGCGGTTGAATATATGTAAAAGTATCGTCGATATCTGTCGACAAAAAATATATCTGATATCATATAGCCGATACAGTATAGCGATGCTTTACTCTTAATTAACCGAACTTCTAGAATTTATTAATTTTTTAATCCGAACCTTAAAATTTATTAAGGAGCTAATTGAACCTATAGAAATTTTTATAAACTGGTATTTACAGGTTTTTATTTTTCAGGAAACAAAATTAATATTCTTATTGTTGTTGTCTTATCTCTCTAGTATATTTATTTCGGGCATTATTTTTATTTTAAATTGTTTCTATTATGTATTGTTTCAACATACTATTATAATTATAATACACTAATAATTTGTAATAAAATCTATTGGCGAATGTAATAAAATTTATTCAATTTATCATTATATTATATACTTAAGATAACAAATTCTGTCCGCTTAATTTCAATTTTCTAATAGATAAAAATAAATCTAATTTGTTTTAAAAATGAAAGAGCTTAAATTTCGAGCGACCTGTTGAGCGCTTTTTATTAGAGAATAATATATGATATTTAAGATTAAGATCTAGCCTTCATTAGAATTGGGCTTAAATTTTTACAAACTGAAATGATACAATATAGATTATAATGATTTTTAATATAACTTTCATCTTATAAAAAATCTAAAAATATAATAGTTATTATTCATTTTTTCGATGTTAAAACATAGCTAAGTTCTTGGTTATTTTTAATCCAAGATTTTTAGAGGGAATTACTTCCAGAAGCTTGGGTGCCGAGCCCTAGTTCAGCACAGCAACGGAAGATTTTCAAATAATATAGATAATCATTGCTACCTTACAATTATCGAGGCATCCCACTCTTCTGCTTTGTGGGAAATGTGTGAGGATCTTTTTAAATTTCCCCAAATTGATTGAGATTTTTCAAGCAAAAGATCTACACCTTATGGGTATCTATAATTCAAGAGCTACCAGCCTACGATATGAAATCACAAATTGAAAAAGAAATTGATATATAGATTGCGCCGTTAGAAGGGATAACATTGAGCCAGGAGAGGTAGATTCAGATTTTCAACTCTCTAAACTTTATTTGATTATGAGTTTATAGGATTTCTTTGTAAACTATTTAAAGTATGTTCAATTTTTTTGAAAAGAAAGTAGGATTTATGGGCTGGTAACGAGTTAAAAAATTTTATATTGTTTTGATGCTGTATTTGTCAATAGGAAAATGATGAAGGGTAGCAGCCTTGATATATTCGAAACCAAAATGGTTTTGAATCATTGGGTTATTTAAGACATTTTTATTGTTTATGAGTTCAAAGCATTTGGTCTAGATTTCATATTTTTGACAGATTTTATTTTGAATAGCGAATATATGTATATAATAAATAATTATAGTAGAAAATATAAAACTATGAGCATAAACCCGGCCGATAGCGCGGGCCGAAAACCCTTCAAAGGAGGACATAGGGGTAAATAATTCAAAAGTTCTATGTTAATAATACTTATCATTATTCTTATCATATTATTTAGGAATATATAAAAATAGACTTTCCTCTAAAATAAAATAATATATACAATTATAACCAATAACCAAAACGATTTTATGCTATATATTATATGTTTATTCTAAATTTTAAAATTATTAACAACAAATGATTTTGATTATGATTATTATGATAAAGTTTTAATTTACAATTATATTTTTATAGATAAATATTTTGACATTGAATTAATTATACTAGGTTATATACTTATGAGTAAATAATCTTATTCATAAAGACTTTAGGCATTTTGATAGTTACTAATTTTGATAGTTACTAATCCAGGCAATGTATTTTGAGACATCGGTAAAGATAGAGAGTTGACCACAGGTTGGAATGTACCAGCTAGAAATACCTCTCAATTTCCAGGTATTGCCCGATTTGCAGACGTATGGTCCTCCAATATCACCCTTAAAATTATACGAATTTTAGAGGTTGTTACCTTAATTCAAACCTTACAAAAAGTGTTTGAAGCAAAAAAATTATATCTGAGAGAGATCCGCAAAGCCTGGCCTGGCCCATCCAAAAATCCTGTTGGCAGACCGGGCTAAAAAATTTAACGGACCTCATAGATCAATTCGTATAAAGAAAATGTCGAACCGAGCCGGATAATTTATACATAAAAAATCAGGCAGGCCAAATATTACTAATTTTTCTTTAAATTTTAATATAGCACTCTGGGTATTACAATTTTTATTAAATGCTATTTAATAAATTCAATCTCATTTTTTTGTACTTTAAGAGCTGGCCTATCTAAAATACGAAATCTATAAATAATAGACAAATTCACAAATAATTAAACAACTTATAAATAATATGATACAATTATAAATACACAATACAGATATCAACAATTGAATTATATAACGGTTGTTGTAGAAATAAATAACCATAGAGATTGGGAAAAATTAGATAAAGATATTTAAAAATTGGATGACCATAAAATTCCTACAGAAATATTTAACGGGAAGAGCAGACTTTTAGTAAAAATTAGAACAGGTAGGGCAACTTGTGTAAAATTTTTAACGGTTCGAAATGGTTCGGACTGACTTTATAGATGTATAATTAGCCGGTTAAATTATCTGTTGTATTATTCCTGTTAGAATAATTAGTTGTCAAATTTAATATAAGTTAATAATATTAGAAGAAAATAAATTGTCAACTGATAGTAATTGTTCCCAATTAAACAATATTTTTAAGGAAGCGGGGAGATTAAAATATTATTTAAAAATGTAAAATTACGTTGCAAATGCCTTTGTTTAGTCCTAGATCGGCAGAGTAACCGGCACAAAATGTATTGTTGGTTAGTGTTAGATTCGTAGATTGTAATCTGTCATCCATTACACATTCGGGTTCCGATATCGATGGAAGGCAAATTTCTTGAAGAGTTTGTCTAGGTGCTATGGAGGCATCTTCAATTACATTTTAATTGGTATTTTTTTTTAAAAAATAGCTTATATTATTAAAATAATTTTTCATGAGTATTGAATGGGGAAAAAATGCTTTTTTAAAGTAGAATGTTACTCCGTTGACTATTTTTTTTCTTCAATATTTGGAAAAAAACTTTTTTAAAATACAATCCTTACATACCTGCCCCGTTTACAAAAATAACTCCCGAAAAATTGCGGGATTATTTTGGAGTGATAACAGAGAATTGTTTAATATTTACTAAGTTAATTTTAGTTAGCACGAAAATGATGAGACAAGAGCAAAGTCCCAAGCATGAAGATCTTGGTCTGCTCATCAACCAATCCTCTTGGTTTAATTATTATTTTTTTTATTTAAAAAAAATTAGAAAAAGTTAAGGAATTTCGAAATATTTTAGATGCAATTTATGGTTCATCAATTTGCAATTTATAAATAAAATATATATATTTTTTTAATAAGAACATAAGAGATGTAATATCGTCGTGGGCTTGTAAATTGTTAATTAAGAAAAAATCGCAAATAATAATCAAAAGGTGAGAATAGCGAAAAGATACACTTTTTGAAGTATTTAAATAAAGGGATCGTAAAACCAAATTTAAGAAAAAAAAATTAATGAAAGTCGACTTACGACTTAAACCTTTCAAAAACCTCTCTACCAATTTATGGAGGAAAAAAACTCGCCTTCCAGACCCTTGATATTTGTTAAAAATGTATTTGATATATAAACTTCTAGTTATTCCCCAGCCAGTGGCATAGCATGGTTCTCCTGATATAACAGTTTCGTTGACCCTAGGTAGGCACACTGCTCTAATTTTATGGGAATATGTGAACGTATTATTCAAAACTAGAAGGGCTATGTTGGCATTAAGGGAAACATTTATTCCTAATCCACCTTGATAAGCAGGATGTATAATGACTTGATAGACATTCATTCGTATTCCTTCAAGTTCTGACACGTTTTGTGTACCTGCTCTCACAGTTAATTCATTAGGGGCACTGATATTGATTTTTTTTTCAAATATATTTATATATGAAAATTAAGAATCAGCTATTTTAAATATAAATAATTTTTTTTATAAATCTCTAGGCCTAAACCGGTTTTTTTTTCCAGTAGAAAAAAGTAGAGTATAAAAGTCTTTAGTGATTGTCCTCGTTAAATTTATTTTTGATAGATACAGTTTAGCGAGGCTAACCAGTTTTTTAATTAGGACACCCTATTTTGGTTTTCTTTTCAATATTTGGTAGCATTTTTATTTCACTTTTTTTTCCATTTATTTTTTTATTTTTTATTTTTTATTTTTTATTTTTTATTTTTTATTTTTTATTTTTTATTTTGTTTTTTTTATTTTATTTTGTTTTTTGTTTTTTTTTTCATTATTATTTTTTGTATTTTTCATATTTTTATTCGTTTTTTTTTATCTTTTATAGCCGTAGAACCAAGACGCACCCTTTAGACTTAGGTTGTATTAGCAAGCAGTTAAAATAGACTTTAAAAAATTTGAACAAAAATGGGTTTGTTGTGAAATAAAAATGATTTGTAATGTAAATTGGGCAATTATTTTGCTTTTCTAATTGCGGTAACTTCAAAGACTCCTTTTTTTCTTTAACGAATAAAATCGCCAATTTTAATTGCTTGCTAGAGGGACGTAAGCTTAGATCATTGTACTTATATTATGTATATAAAATATCTAAAATATTTTTATTGTTTATTTACCTTCCGAAAACACAGTTGGCACTTGTAAGTATAAGCCTAGGTCCAATTATGCTACCTCCACAAAATAAGTTAATATGCCTACTCGATTTGATATATACCTAGTAGGAACAATTACAAAATATTAACAACTTTATATATAAATATTCGATTTAACGGTCACCTTAATTCTTAATATGCGTAACTTTAAAGAGAAAAAAAAATTAAATTGACTTAAAAGATCTTTGCTGGAATTTGAAATTAAAGGGACAAAATTATAATGGTAAATGAACAAAGGAGAAAGAAGTACAGAATTCGAAAAAAGAATGTATTGTATGTAGTCTTGATAGAAGGAAAAATGATTAAATTTTGTTTTTTCTTTAATACGAATGCTTTGTTTTTAATAATAGAAATGCTTACAAATCAATTTTTTAAAAAGAGGATAGTTTCTTTTTTTCCAAATAATTTTGGATCCAAAAAAAATTATACCTGCCAAGGCCATGATTCAATTTTAGCTACAGAACTTCCAACAATTGATTGCGAAGAGGAGGTGCAGCTGGGTGCACTGGGATTGGCAAAAGAAGTTCCACATGAGGTTGTATTCCTAGGGTCACCTCCGGATCCAAATGAGCAGTAACAAGTAAAGGTATCATACCTGGAATCGTTTCCCATATTCTCATAAGCGTAGTCTTAATGGCATAAAAGGGGCATTAAATTTTATTATTAACTTTATGCTGTGACCTAAATATCAAAAAATATAATTAAACTTTCATAACTTTAAACGAAAAAAAAAACAAAAATAATCTATTTTTAATGTAAAAATAGTAACAAAATTCATTTTTCGGGATTTAAGAGAGTTTATTCCTTTTTTAAATTAGAGAAATTATAAAAATTTTATTAATTTTAGCTTTTTAATTTTTTTTAAAGTTGTAAAATTTTACGAAAATAAAAGTAAGATAAAAATAATTTATATTTTTCAAATTATTAATAGAAATTGACAGTTATATTTGGGAAGTATAAAAATAATTTGGTTAATTATAAATTTACAAATTTACAAAACTTATAAGATTTTTAAATGAAAGATTTTGGAACCCTTAAACTAATTTTATAAAGTTACGAAAGTTTTAAAATTTTGAGGTTTTTTCAAAAATGTTTTTTTTTATTTTGGGTGCGGTGCTTTAAAGATTTTTATTTTTCACACCATGAAATAAAATTATTATTTTGCCTAAAGTTATAACTTTAAAAATTATTGCCTAAATTTTTTTTTCTAAAAAGTCTAAGCAAAAATGTTGGATAATTTAGATAATTGGCTCGTTAAATATTCTCCCATTATATGTCGAGTAGAGAGTCAAAATCTTTCAATTATGAATCATTTATTTGTGACAACTTTTATAAAATGATTATTGAATTACGGTTAATAATATGAATTTAATTTTTAAAAAAAATTAAAATATAATACACTTAGCGTTATTAATTCTAATAACGTCCCCGTTTAGTAAGGTTTTTTCGTTTTAGTCATTTTAATTAGTTTCTAGTGTTGTTAAATAGATCGATTTGAGTAGAAATTTAAAAAATGCTAGCTCAATATTTTATCCAGAAAAATATTACGCAAACCTGAAGATTTTACTCAAAGGTTTCGACATCATTGGCAGAATCTCTAGGTTCAGGCAATATTTTATCTTTCTCGCTAAAATATTGAGTCAGCCGTTTTAAAAATACCATTTAACAAGACTAGTTTCTGGTCCCTTGAGGAACATTTATTAAACTCTATAAATAAATAAATATGATCATGTAGAATTTAATTTATTTTAAAATATATTTTTTTTAATCAATTAACTTCGGCTTGACTTCTTGAGTTCCATGAAACCATTGCTTCCAGTCATTTCGAATCCAGTTGCGATAGCCAACATTCCAAGATACATAAAGGAAAAAATTAGTGTCTTAAAATAAAACATTATACTTTATTTAAAATGATTTTAAAAAATGAAATTAATTTTTTTTTTGTAAAACTTAATAAAGATGTAGTCCCCTTATATACCTTTTAGATAATTTAAATCTTATTACATTCTGATAAATTTAATCTTTAATTTGGACGATAATACCCTAATACCAACTGATTAAATATCAATATATATATAGCAATTGAATAAAAATATATTTGGAGACAGTCCATTAAATTATATAAAGCTAAATTTGAAATATAAAAAAAAATATATGGTTTATAAAAAAAAAATATTGGCCTGATAAATAATTATAGATTATACCTCTTATAAACTTTGGTTATAAAAATAGAAACACCTGTTGGATTTCGTACAAAAAAAAATCAAAAAAATTATAAACATTTAACAATTTAACGAAATAGAATAATCTTGGCAAGGATTATCAAAATAAAATAGGAAGGCAAGAGGACGTTACTCTGGTTTTCACGTTAACGCGAATCCAAGTATATAAAAATACAACATATTTTGTAAACTTTGCCGCGAATTCGTGCTAGCTCTGAATGTAGGGTTATCAACGTTAAATATTAAATAGTTCAAAGAAAGATAATAGAAAAACAAAATTTAGTGTTGATGGCTTAATTATTTTATGATAAAACTTATTCTAATATTTAATTGCATGTTTATATTTCTTCTTTCTTTCTTTCTTTCTTTCTTTCTTTCTTTCTTTCTTTCTTTCTTTCTTTCTTTCTTTCTTTCTTTCTTTCTTTCTTTCTTTCTTTCTTTCTTTCTTTCTTTCTTTCTTTCTTTCTTTCTTCTACTTTCTTTCTTTCTTATAATATTTGTCAGAGACCTGCAAGCCCGGTCAGGAATCTGGCCATGAATTCAACCCTGTGCGAGCTCGAAACGGAATATTTATTTAAAACCCCGGGTGGACAGCATAAAAAAAATCTAATAAAATACAAATCCAGGCCCTAGGTTTTTTTAATTTATTTTCTTTACAACTAAATAAAGCAGTCTGGAACAAAAATAATATTTTATCTGGACCGAGCTTAAAAAAGGGGTGGGGAGTAAATCTGGGTCGGGTTTATCAAAAATTTATACTGAATTAATTTTAAAAAGAGTGCGCATATAAATTTGACTTAATATAATTAGAGTTTTAAAATTTGCCGATAGTTTCGTCGGCCCACAGGTCTAAATTTTTCCATTTTTATTAATATAATTGCCCATTTCTTATTATATTTTTAAAAATATAAATTAGTTATTGCTTACTTTTTTTTGTAAAATTTATTAAATTTTTATAACTTCTCGAACTTTAAAAAATTAATAAACTTTCGTAAATACGAAAAAATTATTTAGGCCATTATTTTGATTTTACAGTAGCTTATTTCTCTTTTTTCGTTAAAATTACGAAAGTTTATTAAATTTTATTTTTGATATTTGAGACCCAGCCTAATATTAAAAAAAAATATTCCCCTTCTGCTCCTAAGTGAAAAGTATTTTTGATTATTTATCACTTAATATGCCTATCAACTTTATTGAGTGGTACATCTTCTTAAGTTTAATCCTAAATTTATATCAACAGGAAGAATATAATAGTTTAATTACTATGCTTTATATAAGTAATCTTAAAGTGCCCACTAATCTTTCTGTTTGATACTACTAAATACTATAATTGTAGACTCATTATCAAGCGGTTTTTGAAAACTTTAGGTAAATCATTCTCTTCCAAACATCCATCGATTTATGGTGATGCAACTTAAATGGGGGAAGGCGGGGGGAGGGGGGGGGGGGGGGGTATCTCTTTTCCAAAAATTTTTCTATCCCTCTAATAAAATTTCTAAGGCGAAAAGAGCTACATGATAATACCTCTCCCTTTAAGAAGATCCTGGCATCGCTCATGACTCACAACCATATATACACTGGTGAAATTTTCACCTTTCAGAGGCATGAAGCCGTATTCTATGTGTAAGATCGTTCGAGATCTGAATACTACTTTTAGTACCATAATCGTTCGAGATTTGCATACTAAGTACGATCTCCACTTAGTGTAAAAGTAACAGCTCTTATAGCATAAGCGCATACCTAAATTAAACGCAAATCATAGGAGAACGGATTTTTACAGCATAGTTTTTACTTTATTGATTATCTCATGCTCTTAGGTCTATACCGCTATTATACCCGCTAGTCATCTGACATATAAACCATAACAAACCCAAAAAACTCGTAATTGATGTATGTTTTATAAGTTTGGTAACCCCGGTTCCTCTATGGTTTCTCTAGAATCGAGGAATCATTATCATTCTTTCCTCATCATGATCACATTGTTTCGATATTCTCCAATTGTCAATCAGTCTTTTAGCACCCCAATATGTATTTGGAATATCATGGAAAACATGAAAGTTCCAATGACATTCTATGGTACCTAAATAGACCTTCATAAGCTGTAAGTCAGGTATTCCTGAGATGATAACTCTAACACCATTTAGAAGTAATCATTAAAATCAATAACTGTATATTTCTTATCGAATTTGTTTCATCAATCTTTTTAGTTTATAATTATATAAGGTTAAAAAATTAACTAAATTACTTTTAAAAGACTCTTTTACTCTGCTGTAGAACTTTTCCAAATTTTTAAAAATGTTTGATCATACATTATCTTAATTCAGCTAATTATTACCACATACACTGCCACTTTGATGGTTAAATTTTGGTGATAAATATATCATGATAACCATCTCATTCACACAAAAAAATAACAAATAAAATGCATATAGCAATAATTTGTAATATGCTAGCTGTCAATATATTGTCATTTAATAAGTCAATTAAAATATTTATAAAAATATCGGTTCGGACTAAAGACCAGATAAAGGATCAAAACAAATCTAAGATTTTCAGGCCCGGATACTTGCTTCTCTTCTCTAATATATATTTAAAAATAGGAGAAAAAATAAATCATGCTTATTGATGTTCATGCCATTAAAAAAAATTTATTTCCCTGGAATTGGTTAAGAATATAGGAATTTTCCTTAAATAAAAAAAAAGTTTCAAAGAAAGAAATGTCATTATTTAGAAGAGTATAATGATGCTCATCCATGACATTGATCATGATTCAAAATTAGTAACGAACTGTTTTCGAAAATCGAGTATAAATTTTCTTTAAATTTAGATACACATTTATTATTGAATCTATAATTTATATAATTGATATCTATATAAATTTTATTTTAAGCATAATATTTAATTGTTTTTTTTAACTACATAACTGCAATGTAGATGTAATCATTGATTTATAATTTGAAATAAGCTATAATATGATTCGAATATATTTAAATTCATCATAGTTTTCCCATATCCTACTTAATAAGATATTGGCATTGGCGCCCTCTCCAACCAGAAAAGCATACGCATGCATAATTTTGATAAGATTTCAAGCTTAGATTATCAGCTACTTTCCAAAATTTGTTATAAATTTGCGTCGATCTATTCAAGCTATCATAGTCTGTTAGAGGTTGATTTAAGAATAAACGGTTGATACATCTTCCATTTCCATTGCAAACGCTAGTGCTACAAGCTTTTTAGGTTTGAATTATAAAAATATATGTATCCACTACACTGAATTGAGAGGGGATGATATCTAACTATTTTATCAAAAATTTTACTTTTTATATTTAGATTTTTTTAAAAAATATGTTCATGATTTACAAAAAAAATTTATTTATTCTTACTGAGAAGAAGAAAGCTAAAATGTTATTGTTTAGATATTGATAACTTACAGTTTGCATATTGTAACATCTTTATAGCAGTTGGACCTAGCGTGGTATTAACATATTGCGCCAATTGGGAACAGTTTCCAAAATCACTAAAATCTCCCCAAATAACCTATTCAATTATAACGTTTAAAAATAAATCTTCCATAAATAGAATAATTTCAAGTTTAGTTCATATTATTTTATAATTAAAGATTATCTTAATATTATAATTATAAAAATAAATTCGACAATTTTCTTATCCTAAATTTTTAAGTCTGAAGAAAAATGCTTATTATATTTGTTTTGTCGTAACGGGATACGGAATCTGGAATCATAAATCTACAATTTTTTTCTCGGAATCTGTTACATAAAAATTAAGATTTGAAAATAGGATTTAAAAGCCACGTTTAGCTGTTCACCCATTAGTCGTTATTTGATTTATAATCTTATCCAAAATTTCCATATATTTATCTTAAACGATTTTATTTCCTTCTAATTCATTTCAAAAATAACTATATATCGGATCTGGCTTTAAAAGATATTAATAAAAAGAATATTAAAATATTTAGACCATCTGATATCAAAATATTTTCGACCAATCAAAATAATACTATTCTCTTTTTTTTAATATTTAGACATTGACTATCAATAAATAAATAATTATTATAAACTATTCCTGATAAGCCAGTGTCTATCGCTTGTCCAATGCTATTTTCCATGTCAACTTGAGATAAATATGACGGGATTGGTTGCTGTTCGTATTGATATCGAATATAAGGATAAATCGCCATATTGTTTGTAATAGCATATTGGCTCATTCTCATAGCTTCATTCATTCCTACAATTTAAATTTGATTCAGAAAAAATTTATATAACATAATGTATTTACTTCCAGGACAGTAAATTATTAATTTATTAATCAAAAAAAAATGAAGAAAGAAAGAAAATATTTAAACTTTAAAAGGGAATGCTTCATTTTGTTTTTTTTTTGTAAATATTTTAATCGGCAATATCATATCTCGAGACTTAGCCCCTAGTTATTTTTTATGAAATGAATCGGTATTATTATACTTTTCAAAATGTAAATAGCCCTTAGATCAGGATCAGGTAGGACTTGAGTGTTTAAGTATAAATTGGGATAATATCCTAAACTATTCACGAATATCCAATTCCTTTGTTCATTTAGTCTTTGTTGCTTTTCGTCGCAAAAATATCCAGTATTAATGTCTC